AGAGAGAGAGAGAGAGAGAGAGAGAGAGAGAGAGAGAGAAGGGGTGATAGGGCACCTCTAAAGCTAACGCGGTGGTACGTGCCCGCTGTGTCCTTCCCTGGATTCCCCCATTGTGATCTAAAATGTATTGCGAATATAATGCAATTTTTAATTTAATTTATGCAGAACATTTACTTTTCGATATACAGTAACTCTCAGTACGGCGCGTTTTCCCAGAAAATCTGACATGTTTTATACACTTCAGGTACCAGTGCTCCTATGCCTCCCGTAATCCTGGCAGAACTTTTACCCAACCCAGACAAACTGAACGAGTTCTACCGTTACGGAGGAAGTCTTACGACCCCTGGATGCTTTGAATCTGTCATATGGACCGTTTTCACTGAACCAATTCGTTTGTCCGAGAAACAGGTGAATGACCTATGTTATCCTATGCTTGGAAATATATAATGGGGTGTCACTATAACCGAATTTTGTGGATGAAGGGTGCTTGCAGCCAGTTTGTCACGCTAGATTACTAGAGCGGTTGATCTGTTCAAACTTAACAATCTAGAACTAGAGTGAATTATAGCTGTGTTCTAAGAGCAACTTACCAGCGGAAAAACTATCCTTTGTTATGTAATAGAACAAGTCGAAAGAATAATTATATGTAATTTTTGACATTTCAATCAAAAAGATATTACGCCCAGAGAGAGAGAGAGAGAGAGAGAGAGAGAGAGAGAGAGAGAAGTTGCATGAATCACTGGCGAGGCGATTTTCTATGTTTTGCAAAAGGTTTTTTCCGGATTGCCTAACGCACGCCTCTCAAAACTACACATTTCTCAAATAAGGTCTTGATGTCCATCAATACAAATTTTAATTGAAGAAATGGAATTTTAGAAATTTTTGCATTACACATTATACGAGTTCTGTGATTGTTTAGATATGTACAGCTATGATATACTGTATGCCATGCTTAAAATTTAAATGGGTCGGGTTAGTTTATTTTTTAATTGCAACAGGAGTTTACTGCGATTATTGATGGTGATGTTAATTAGGACAACTGAATTATGAAGCATAAAAATAAGAGATCAGCTTGTAACTTGATAACACCAGTCTTCACTAGTGACCAAAACAGCTACCCCATTTGTTCTAACATGTGGAACATTTTCTATTTTCAGCTCCAAAAATTCCGCCTTTTCCTCAGGTTTAATAAAGCCGGAGAAGCCCCTGAACCCATGGTTAATAACTACCGCCCAGTTCAACCTCTATATGACCGGCTGGTATACAAAAGCGTATCTGATGATCGTCGAGGTTGGAGTATGGAATTGTTCCTTTTGCTTGCAGTTATGGCCGTGGCTTGCATGTTCTACCAATCCGTCACCAAGACCGTTACCACAAAAAAGGCGGATTGAGTCTTTTGGAGGAGGGAGTGAAAAATATACCTTTGGCAATTATTGATATTGCAAAGAAAAATACAAACACCTTTTACAACAGCATTATTATCTGCAATACAACCGAGTTGGCAGATTGAAATATTAGTATTTTGGGGCATTTGTTTTTTGTTTGTTTTTATTAATTTATTTTTTTTTTTGGGGGGGGGGAGGGTGGAGAAGGGCTGGTGAGGGGGGGATGTCTGATTGATAGAGAAAAACAAATGGATGTGCATAAACATGTTGCAGCAATAAGAACCACATGTGAATGCACTTCATAGGGCGTCCATCAGATCCTTGCAAATAAGATATACTGATTCACAATATTTCGAGATGTTATGGTGCTAATGCTGGGTGGGAGTGGGGGAGGGTAAGGACATGCAAACTAAATGGCAGAATCTAAGTGCCTCTGATTTCACGAAGCTTTGGTATGCTAAAAGCACTTTTAACATTACCCGTGAAGCTGTTTTTGTTAAAAAATGTAAGAAAATGGGGATAAATAAAACAGGAACAATAAAATGGGATATTTCTACTACAATAAATAAACATTGAGGACATTTCTTCATAAGAAACATACCATTATACCAGTATAATTCTTGTCAAATGTTAATAAACATTAAAGTAGCCCTTGAAATAAGCATTTATCAGTTAATGGTAGGCAATTGGCTTCCTTAACATAACATCCATGCACCTAATAGGTTTTTTACTTTAAAAATTGCATACTTTGAATGGAATGGGAATGTTAACATTATTAGGCACCATGTTATGTATTTGAGTTTACACGTTGGTTTAGTCTCAGGGAAGAATATTTTTTAAAATTAATTTTGGATCATTTTAAGGAAAGGGCTTTTCAATAAGTCATGGGATCATTGCAATTCAACATCGACTCATATAAATGTTACAGTATAACTTGTTATCATATTGACTTTTTCAATATCATGTGTTAACCATTCACTTTGTTAGAGAATAAACTCTGCATTTAATTTTTGACGTCTTTTATTATTTCATTATCTTCATATGAATTGTGTGGCTTAATATTCTTGATGCCCAATTACAACTGGACAGCATCACACATATAATTCAATAAGACAAGAATTAAATGTTCATCATCTAACTTTTCATGCAAAATTTCATTCAGACATATGAAACACTCCAAATAAAATATAAAATGTCACTTTAATTTTGACAAAAAAAAAATCCAAAAATTAAATTTCAAAAAAACCTACTCAGAAACTAGATATTACTCTAGACATTTTTCATTCACTACATCAGGTCCTGTGAAAAATTTAGTTAGTTTCAAGTCCCAGTGGACAACATTTGTTTAACATCAATAACTACCTTGCTGTATTACACAGGATCATACAGGTATATCCATATCGAAATATAATAACAAAGATGTATGTTACCGATCTTCTTCGACAAGACCCTTCTTATTTTCCAGCAAGTCATTTGCTAAAGCCTTGAACCCTGGAGGTGGTCTCCTAGGTTTGTTATCCTTTTTTAAATCATTGCTAAATGAGGCAGACAATGCACAATCTGTTCTAAAATCCCCTTGAAGATTTGGAGGGGGTCCCTCCAATTTAAAGCCGGGTGGTGGCCTGGTGGTTTTAACCACAGTTGCACTCAATTTTTCTGCAATTGAATTTAATGACAACTCATCATTTTTACCTCCTGTCTGGTCTGGTGTAGAATTTGCATTAGTTCTGGATTCATCTTCCAATTTGTTATGAGACTTGTCTCTGCTTTTCAACTGATTGGACTTGCCATGTGCATAATTATTTCCATCTGAACTAGGTTTCTCTCTCCTTCTCCTGCCTGACTGTGGCCTAGAAGTCTTACCACGCTGGTGATGACCATTCACACCATGATCTAAGACTTCATCATCAGCACCATCTTTAGAAAAGTTTTTGTTGTCATGGGCTGGTTTACCCGTGTGGTATCTTCTGTTGTTTCGACCATTTGTATTTGCATAATGACCTCTTCCCTTACCTTTGTCATATCCACGTTCTCTGTGGAACTGTCTGACACTTGAAGGACTGCTTACGTGGCCACCTTCAACTTTTGACTCTTGTATAGCATCTTTACTTTCTTCCTCTTCCTTCCTTTCCAAAAGGTGATCTTTGTCATTTTTGGTAATTGCCTCCTGGTCATTTTCTGCTGTTTTCAGTGTTTTTTCTGGATTATCTGAACCACTGTTCAATGTGTCTACTGCCCTGTTTCTGGTATCTACACCTGATTTTTTGAGATCACTATTTGGGTCTATTTCCTTCCCCTTCTCAACATTTTCATTTTGTAATCTTTTGTTACTGATTGCATCGTCTGTGGTTTTAAGATTTTCAGAGGTGGGTTTATCTTTTGCAGGAGCGGCTTTGTGTCTGTGCTCTCTTGGTGACCTTTGACTTGGCCTGACCTCTCTACGTCCTGAGTATGGTCTCCCTCTGCCTCTTCCCCTTCCATGATGTGAGTAAGTATGGCGTCCAGAGCTAGGTCTGTATCCTTTCTTTATTCCTTCATCCACCTTGTCACTATCAATACACTTCTTCACACTAGGCTTATCTCTATCTGTCCCTTGCTGCGCAGGCGCCACACTTGCTGATTGTTGGGTATTTTCTAGTGCAACCAAGTTTGTACCAGATGATGACTGCAAAGAAAATACAAAGGATTTGCACATATCTGAAACCAAAATAAAAACATAATTGTTTTGGGGAAAAACGATCCATCTTTATAAAAAAAGTTGGCAAAAATTATTATGAATACACATATGCATACTGTACAACTTTATACATTAAAAGCCCTACACTTACAGATGATATCAAATACTTGTTTTTTTCTTCTTCAAGATCAATGATCCCTCCTTTTGCTTTTTGTTTCAGAAGTAACTGTTTCATATTCTCTTGCATTTCTTTGAGTTCCTCTGTAAGGAAGAAGTGGTCACTCCCTGTTGTGGGTGGGACTGCCTGGCGCAGAGAGTCTATATCAAAGGCTATTGGTGTTCTACACACTGGGCATACTGCCTATAGAAAACATTCCATTTTCTTTCATATACTCCATATGTTAGGGATATTCAGCATTTCATCACTTTTATCATTTCAGTACATAAGACCATCCCTTACAACAATATAAAATAAGACAATTTTTGAAATAAATGAGAGTGCAGATTCAAGATTCAAAGCAATTATTTTCCAAATTACTTATGTTCTGGAATAGTACTGTTCGAAAAAATACTGAACTTACTTCCATCTTTGGTTGCTGTAAATGAATAGCACCTAATCTTGCTTGTTCTTCCTCCTCCTGCTTAATCAATTTCATTGTATGATCTATGTGCCTGTAGAGACAGTGGCAGTGGAAGTAATGGTAGCAGTCAGTTCTTGTGAACTCCTCGTCTTCATGGAAGCACTCCAAACAGATCACACACTGACCATGAGGGATGTTGCCTTCTGTCAAGCTCTCTTTAGCAAGCTAAAATATATATTTTACATATCAAAGAATGGTAAATAAAAATCTGTTAATCAAGATCCCTTCTAACTGCAGCTTCATCTTGTGTAATGGAGGTTTAAAAAATCAAAATTCAACCTTATTTTTGAAAATTTCTTAAATTTAGAACAGCTGTACCAACATAGATAAGCTTAAAAACTAAATTCAATGTTTTTGCAACCAGTTTCAACTAATTAATCTTTTTAAAAAGTTAGTTAAGTATCATACGACTTTAACTACTTTATTTTTTTACACTACTCAGTTATATTTTTACTACTTTAAAAAATTTGACTTGACCTTAGTTTACACTAAATTCTATTTGCATAATGATGTTTATTTTCACCAAATACCTCAATCAGTTCATAAAGCATAGGGCTGCCTTCTCTCTCACTTGCTAGGTCTTGTAGCTTTTGAAAAGTCCTAGAAAAGACAAAAATCTCTTAAGTATGCACTACACTAGTAAGCAAAGCAAATAAAAACTTCAGAAAAAAATATTAACACTGTAAACATCCAATTACCCATTAAGCAAAATAAGACCATCTGTGTACTTTGTATCAATGTGTACACATACATTAAATCCACAACAATCTTAAATCATTGTTTTTATTTTCACTTTTCTATTCTGCACTACTGACCTGTTTATTTCTTCATCTGCTAGTCCTCTTGGGTTTTTTATCATTATTTTTGGAGCCTCATCTGGATACTGAAAGACACATTGTTATGTCTATTGTAGAAGTGCTAATTCTATGGTATTCAATTATTTGTATTATTAATGCAAACTTTAGATGGAACTTAAACAGATTTTATGCAACCTATTAAATGTTATACAATTTTTTAATCTCACTTTATAACATTTAAACCATTCAGATTGTTAACAAGAAGAGGGATCTGTCATCATAAATTACAATTTATATCACGGGAATGTTTGGTTAAGTTTTTATCTCATAAAGACTCATTCTCACCTTTGATGACAACTCCATAACCAGAGTCAGACACACATATTTCTGTTCGACACTGTCCCCTGTAGATGGATGAAGACAAATGCTGATGACACAGGGACTAATCCTGAAATGATATAATTTACAATCAATAACTGCAGTTACACTGATCTCAAAAGTACTGCTCTTTTTCTCAGCAAGTAAGAAAGGAGATAATGAGAACTGAATTTCAGTTTATCAAAGGCCTCCTCTCCTGTAATTGGCAATGCGATGAGGTAGGTTGTAACTTATAAATACACCAGGAGTCAGTGAGGTGTATGGGGCACACGCCAGTATTTAGCACAAGTGGTTGTCTCATATATATTCTTTTGACGAGTGGTGGATGCTGCATGCAAAAATTCAATCATGGTGGATCACACAGTGACACTTGCCAAAACATAACATGTTTCAAACACAAGAATGGCAATAAATATGTATATTGTACCAAGTCTAGGATGCTGGTGAATTTAATATCTCTAACACCTTCAATATCACTCAAGATAATTTACCCATGCTCATGGTCCACTAAAAGGTCATCTAGATAGATGGATTCCAACACTTCAACTTCCTCTTGTATAGATCTGTAATTAAAAAATTACTTGATATAAAAACAGAATATATTGAGGTAGAACAACTGTGTCTGGTCAGGTATGAGCATGACATCCTACCTAAATGTTGAATCTATTCATCTTATATCTTGTATAAATGTACCAGAGGTTAATAGACCTGACCTTGAAGGTACAGTGTACGTTCATGTGCAGTTATCTGAGACAAATCTACAACATATATAAATAATGCACATAAGTTACACATAAAATGATATAATAGTTTGAACAGCAATAAATAAAATAATAAAGTATATGGTTCAGGACTTCAGGAGAAACATAAAGGATAGTTAATAAATTCTAACACAGAGACAGACTTTTACTGCATTACCTTCTCCTATATCTTTCAGATTCAAGCTTAAAAAGGGCATTACATGGAACAATTATGAATACCTTTGCACACAACAAGAACGAAACTTCTGAATACATTTGCATTTGTAGTTAAAAAAATGGTGCAATATGTAAGAGTAATATACTCATTCAGCTGCCTTTAGCACCCCAAGGGAAGTTAATGAGGTCAGGATATGTGAATGCCTTTATTCATTACAGCATCCAAACAATCATATAATGAATATGAGCTGCAATCACTTACTGGAGCCTTTGAAATTCTGGACGATTGACATCACCAGCCATCACCTGGCTCAGGGCTATCTACCTAACAGGTGTTGCAATGCAATAAGGTAAGTGTCCCCAAGACAAGCAAGATACTAAATATTTATATTTTACGAAAATTGCAACAATGCGTTGATGTATAATTTTTATATTCAATGAGTAACATTTATTAATCAATCACCTCTTAATTTTTGCAATGATAATGATTAATGTCTAACTTTATTCAAATTTTAAACTTTCTTTAGGCTTATCTTGCAAACCTTGATTAATTATCTCCAAGGGTAAACGTTCACTTCCGTAAGAGTCGATTATGGCGGATAGAAGGGGAGATCACCTGTATTCTGTTGACCATGACCAAAAACGACCGTAAGTGAAGTGCAAACATATCACACAGAGCTCTCTTAAACAGATAATTAAATTGAGAATACTATATCAAGGGTTGTGGAACTTAACAGACCAGTTTTTAAAAGGATATCATATTCCAGCAGATATCAGACTAATCAGTGTTGGTTCGTTTATTTAGATGTGTGCTGTTTTTGGAGACACTGATAAGCATTTGTAAGGCTATACAAGTCAGACAGACATTGGAATTACATATATTCTTAACCCAACATAACATGCATTGTTGTAATAATATTTTATTGAACACTTAACATTTTTATACTAGTAATAATGCAAATTTGGAAAAAAATCTTAATTTATCTGTAGTTATGTTTGTTGTTATTTTATTGTTAATGTATATGATCAGTGCAGACCAGTGGTACCGATTTTATATCACAATTATTAATTATAGTTTTGTATAATGCTAGGATGGTTATTCAGCATGTCCAGAGAAACAGACCCACACCACCACCACCACCACCTGTAGGCTCTCAGAGAGGGTCCAGCCCATACCCTCCAATAACTATACAAACACCAGAAGGTGCAGTGGGAATCCCAATGCAAGGATCTCCTATTATTCCATGGCAGTTACAGGGATTACAAGGAGCTGGGTTAAGTCCAGGTAGCTAGATGTGCTAACCTAACAGTTTTTTGTATAGATATTCATTGTTATACATTAAAAGAAACTGCAGTTTTTAAAAAGGTCTTGATTTCATGCTGTATCACTCTAATTAGGCAATAACTTGTATTTTATTTTAACTTATTAATTCTTAATGTACAGTGTTTATGTCCTTTACTCATATCTAAAAAGTAAAATTGTGCTTCTGATTCATGTCTTTATTTTGTTTTCTTTTGGCTTCCTTTTTGTGCTATCTTACAAATACTGGGAGTGAATCATGTGCAGATAAAGATTAATAAATGTTATATCATCATCTTTCTTTTTCAACCACATACACCATTCTTTTTGTAGTGTGACCTTGGTGCATTTCAGCAGTGACACTAAAAACAATACCTGTAGAAATAACCAGGTGTGTTACACAGGGTGGTCTGTGGCACTTATCACCCTAAACCAGATAGCACAAAACATGGGGGAAATTTAGTTATATATCCACTTTCTCCATACATGTGTGTTTATATAGCACCTTTCTCCTACTAGAGAACATAGCCTTAGCCATTCTTGAACAAACTGGTGGACCTCCCATGTTTCCCATGCATGGTTCACCATTGTCCAATTGGGCTGGGGTTTCACTAGATTTCTTAGAAGGAAGACTTGGTCCTTTGCATTCAGGTACAGCACAGCATGAAGAATGATCTGTAGATAATGTATTTAAATGAAAATTGGTTAATACTAATTGATATACCCCTTGTTTGGATTGAAATATTTGAAAAAAAAAAAGTTGGCATCAGACTTTTGTTTGACCTAAAAAACATAATGGTTTATGCATTTTTGTAACTAAAGGTGTATTAAACATTGTGAAAAAAATAAAAGTGTGGTTAAGAGTTAGAAGATGGTCAAAAAATAAATTTTTGTTCCACTGAAAGGGAGCAATGACAAATTTTAACAGCCAACCACTAAAACAAGTCGATTATATGCTTTAATTTCATGACCATATTCACTATTCGACATACAAGTAGGTATTTACATTTGATCCTAGATTAGCAGGGAAAATGTGGATAAAATCCAGGCATTTTCATTAAAAAGGGTTTTAGAGAGGTAACTGGAATTTGATTTATTTTTGAAGAAATGCACTTTTCATTTGCAGCTAGCATGCATTTTGACAGATTGTGCCTTTTCATTCATTTAGTGCACTGGAATTGAAATCAATCAGGCATTTAAATGCATACTAACAAGTTAGATGATTATTTTGATTGCCCATTTTAATTGAAATTTACGAAAACCAGTCAGTGAGAGGTGTTAGTGTACAGCTTGAGGACTTAAACTTCGATATTATTCTTTGATATCATCCTGATGAAAAAAATTCTCACTGTGAAGAATTTATTTGGAAAGAGAAAAAAATAAAGATTTTCCACATCTCTACTGATAATAGATGTGATGTGGAATATTTTTTCAGGCCAGAGAGTGTCTCCACGCCCAAGGAGCAGAGAACCAGTGCAAAGCCAGACTCCACCTAGAGCATCCAGTAGGGGCACACCACCTGGCCAAGGACGCAGAAGTTCCTCTCCACTCCCAGCCCATAGTAACAGAAGCACCCCCACCAGTTATAGCAACCACGGCACACCCCCTGCCCACAGTAATAGGGTCACGCCTCCCATGTCTGGTCCTTTGCCATTCACAACCAATCCTGGCTTGATGCCATCTCAAGGTTCGTTCCCTGTGGGGATGAATCAAGGTCTTGCACCAGGTGCTCCCCCTGGGTTGCCACCGTCGGCATTGCTAAGCCAGTACCTGCAGGGTTATCCCAACCAGCCCCCTTTGACCCACCCAGATGTCAGGAGGCTACAGGAGTTTTCTGGAGTACCACCCCCAGGGTTGCCAAGACCCCCTAGGGCACCGTCACCAGCGGGTATGGGTCATCGGCCACCACCACCACTGCACCTGGCCCCACACTTGCTGCAAATCCCAAAGACTGAGCTGCCACTGATGGCACCTCAGCCCTCACATCTGACAAATGTGGCACAGCAGATGCTCCCTGAGGATCTCTCCAGACATGAGGAATTTGTGAAAAAAGAAATCAAAGAAGAGGAAGAAGAAGAACTTGTAGATATGGTAAATTGTGATGAGCTGACAAAAGATTGGCACATTTTTTCATTTTCTGGTACTTTTTGTTTTTCTGGTACTTTTGAATCTTTGTGACAAAATTCATATTTATGTACATTTATTTCAATAACAAGCTGGAAATGGCAGATATAATCAAGAGCTGCACATTTTATTTCTCTTTCAGCCCAACCCCTTCAACATGAGACTGATGAACTTGAACAACTTTCCGGTGAAAGAAAACACTTATCGTGCATCTTATAGGTCACAGACTGTTGCTGTGCATAGGGCAAAGTAAGTTCGTTGTGCATGTTTGTGCACCCACATGCTAATGATAAATTAATCACTGCACATAAAAACATTGGGATTTCATGTACTCTTGTTGCTTAAATGTATTTTTTTGTTCAGAATGCTTTTTCATTCAGTGTAATCTAAGTACTTCTTTCTTTACCCATAACAGAATGCATGGATTTTGGTAAATATTAATGTGACTTTTAACACTGGTTCCCATTTAGGGCTGGTTCCATCACCAGTGCAGCAAAGTCTTTGGATATCTTAAGACAGACACTACAGAGAAGCATCAACAAGGAGCTGGATGCAGTTATACAAAAGTACATTGAAGTAAGATATCAGAGTAAAAATCATAATTATTAATATAATCGTCAGTGCAATACTTAGATCTAAGTTGTGTTAAAAAGAGGCAGTACTGATATAATGTGAGACATGAGAAGATAATTTGCAAAACAACTGCTATCAAATCACTTTCATTAAAAATTGTCTGTTAAAGACGTAGTGGGCAAATTTTTTGTATGAAAGGAGTGTTCTGTTATCTGTAATTATAGTTTGCCCTAATTTATATTATATTTTAATTATGTTCACTCCATTTACTAAGGAAAAAATAAAATTAGGAAGCATGCAATGGCATTTCAGAAATGGTCTTAAAAATGCATGCGTATATTGTTTTGGATGAATAAGATGTAGTTCACATTGGACAAGACAAAAGTACTGAAAGTGCAGCCAAAATAAAACTCCAAGTAAGACATTAAATTTGTGATTATTATTCAGTAATCTCATCTTTCAGACATTTTTTGGTTCAGCTGTTGAAAATATAAAATTGAATAATGGTGAGAATTCTGTCTCTGATGACCATATCCAAGCAGTTTGCAGGCAGATGTTGGAAGAGGTATGATAGAATTTGCTATACAGTCATCTTGACACAAACGTGTTTTATTGTTCTTCAACACATATAAAGGTCCATTTTTGGACAGTCATAAGTTAAAGATAGCTTGAAACATATTTACACAAGCTAAAAAGGAACAGACTGTGTTGGATGGGTCACATTGCAAAAGAGTACTGTTTCTTGAAATGAAATAATAGATGGGTATGTTTTTGGTTGACAGATATGTTTTATTTGTTTCATTAGTGACTTGCATCCCTTGTTAAAGCAGTCTCTGGTGGCTATTGTTTCTGTTTTTATTTTCAGGCCAAAAAGATGTACATTCGTGAATCAAGGAGTCCCACACCAGTGAGAGATGGCTACGTGTCAGACAACCCATCTGAAGTGGGGAGTTTGACAGGGTCACATGCTGGGAGAAGAAGGGTATGACTGAATAGTTTACTATTAAAGAACTGACAACAGGTTTAGTTTATGTTATTATTGTACATTGATAGGAATTTGAACAGTGTTGTTGTACATTTTTCCTTGGTTCTTGTAAAAGTAGTCTGATAAATATTGCATAATATTGTAAGAGTTCAGACTGTGAAAAAGATTATGTTATAACTTTATTGCCAATGTTAGGCTTGCAAAAAACATTTATTTACCTAAATATTTTGAAATATCTGATTTTGAAATTATAGAAAAGAAGAGGCTCAGATACAGACTCAGAAGCTAGTGTGCCAACAAAGAGAATTAATGTGTTCAAGGTAAGAAGAAGCAAATAAAACAAAACAGCAGAAATGTATTCAAATATGTTTTCTATTCAAGAATATTTAATTATGAAAAGGTTCAGAAAGGATCTGCAAAATCAAAGTAAAACATGTGATTTGAAGCTTAATGGAAAATAAAAACATGCAAATGAAAAATGGCAACATGAATGCACATATTTATTCTCTTTTTCTCTTTTATTTAGAAAAAAGGAAGGCCCCCACTTTCATCAGGGTAAGTATGTTTCACAATAAATGGAAACTTGTGAGTAAAGATTAGTTTAACAGTGATGATCAGTTTGAACAGTGATATTTGTCAAAAAAACCTTAGATAAAAATTGGTAATTAAGCTGATATTGTACCTTTGTGTTTCATAGAAGATCAACTCCATCAAAAACATCAAAAGCAGATAGTGTGAAGAGGGAAGGTCACAAGGTAAGACATCACAAACTTCTTTCAAGAATGAAGAAAATGAAGCATTTAGTACAACTTACCTTCTTTTCTGCATTGACAAAATTAAAATGCCTTTTAGATTTCATGAAATGAGATCACATTACTGATACGTTATTTTAGTGCAAGTCTATCTGCTTGCACATTTTCTATTTATTTTCTGTGACTTAAGACTTTCTTTTTTTTTCAGTGGGATGCTGACCGTTTAAAAGAAGATACATTGTTTATCATGGGGTCGAAAGCTAATAAGTATGTTTTATATAACTATGTAAACCGACAACTAAATTAATATAAAATATAAATGGTGGAACAATATTTCATATTCTAAATAATTCCACTGCATCAAATTTTATTTATTTTTACAATGATGCTGTCACATTTGTTTACATGTATTTTTCTTTCCATGAAAAAGGGCATTAGGTCTTGGAGCTACTCGAGGACGACTGTACATCAAACATCCTGATATATTCAAGGTTAGGTGTTTTTATTTTTTGCTCATTTACTTCACCTATTTGTAACACTACATTTTCTGTAACTGATGTAAGCATTTTATATTGATTCAGAAGTACTTTGAATTCGTACTAATTAGTAGATATGTATTCCAACATTTTTTCATGTGTGAAGCATTTAGTAGCAATTAAGAAACTTGACATTTTTGTTTGCCATCTATAGTATTCTGGAGACCAAGATGATAAAGTATGGCTTTATGAAAACCATAGAATGCCAGCCACTGGAGGAAAAGCTTATCTTTTACTGGTGGAAGATATGCAAGAACTTATTGAGAGCTCAGAGTACAGGTATGGTAGTTGCTCTGATATCTTTAATAGTGTTAAGCCTGTGGACCTGAGTTTCAAAGCCAATGATGACACTTTTTCAATTTCTGTAAGTGCCCATGTGTCACATTTGAATTTAAGGGGCATTTTTGTGTTAAATGATAGACACGTAACGTGACGGCTACAAATGTTACATAAGTCTGTGAAGTTTGTCACATGGCCTTCTTCATAACCACAAAATCTGGATAACTGGGTGTGCCTCAGTATCATTAACATGCATGCACCCAGTGTATGAAGGTTTGAAAATGAAGAATCTGGAATGTATCGAATCTGAAACTCTGGGTAGGTGCACATTTGTTTTAACATAATTCAGTAATTTTCTAGAAAAGATTAGTCTTCATTTTATAGAAACAATCTTTTCACTGCACATATTTCACGACAGATGCAAATGTAGCAGTAGATACAAGTTGTACAAAAGTTTTGAAGCTATTTTATATAAATCACAATTCTTCTTTCATTGGAACTACAGTGTATCTAAGCCTTTGTTATTTTCCAGTTACAGCCCTAGTCAGCCTATGTGGATATTTATTTTTCTTTCTCATTTCCTTCATTACAGAGATAACAGCGGGCTGATGCCAGAGCTGATCAAAGGTTTCACGGTACCAGACTGGATGATAGAGAAGATGAAGATCCAGATGATGGCCATGAGGACAGATAAAGGGAAGAAGGACAGGAGCAGGTCAGCCACGCCCATGGAGACCAAGACCAGCAACCAGGTCATGGAGGTGAGATTACTGGTGATTTATATGGACACAGTGGTTTAAATGTTAAGAAATAATGGATAAAGAGGTCACATTATAAAACTTACAAAGTGATCCATTTATTTCAAAAACTAAGCATGGTTTTGAATTTTAGTCATTGAATTGTGCTTTCTTTTGGTGTCAGCAGACCAGTTTTTCTGTGAAAAGTTAAGCTGTTGATGTGATTTTATTGCATTTTGTTATCTGTGTACACGGGTTTGGTAATTATTTGATTCCAGGAGAATGCAGTGGATGCAGATGTGGAATCTGATAAACATTTACCATTTACAAATGAAGAAAGCTCACAGGTCACATTGGGAGCCTGCAAGAGGGAACAGCAGGTTAGCTTTGGAAATTTGGTATATTTCTGTCAGAAAATGAAATTGGTTGTTTTTGTTTTGATCTTGAGCTTAATTAACAATTTTAAATTAAATTGACTGTCAACATAAATTTGAAATTATTATAATAAAGACATTGTAAATTTTTACGGCTGTTCACCACAAGTTTGAAAAAATCGGTGGACCCCTTTAGTAATGGAAAGAGTCAAAAAGTCTATGCTAATTATAGCAATATTGGATAATAGAGATTGTAGAGAAATATTTGAAGAGATGAAGTGCTTTGTATTCCCAGCCATCTCCGGCAAATACAGAAGAGATGGAACTGCTGTCTTCACATGGAGAGGAGGACAACCCATCGCCATTTGGTATCACAGGCGGATTTGGAGGGGTTAGCCCTGCCCCAGGGGGGTCTCCCTCAACTTCAGACTTACTGGATGATGCNTCGCTGTGCATAGGGCAAAGTAAGTTCGTTGTGCATGTTTGTGCACCCACATGCTAATGATAAATTAATCACTGCCATAAAAACATTGGGATTTCATGTACTCTTGTTGCTTAAATGTATTTTTTTGTTCAGAATGCTTTTTCATTCAGTGTAATCTAAGTACTTCTTTCTTTACCCATAACAGAATGCATGGATTTCGGTAAACATTAATGTGACTTTTAACACTGGTTCCCATTTAGGGCTGGTTCCATCACCAGTGCAGCAAAGTCTTTGGATATCTTAAGACAGACACTACAGAGAAGCATCAACAAGGAGCTGGATGCAGTTATACAAAAGTACATTGAAGTAAGATATCAGAGTAAAAATCATAATTATTAATATAATCGTCAGTGCAATACTTAGATCTAAGTTGTGTTAAAAAGAAGCAGTACTGATATAATGTGAGACATGAGAAGATAATTTGCAAAACAACTGCTATCAAAACACTCATTAAAAATTGTCTGTTAAAGACGTAGTGGGCAAATTTTTTGTATGAAAGGAGTGTTCTGTTATCTGTAATTATAGTTTGCCCTAATTTATATTATATTTTAATTATGTTCACTCCATTTACTAAAGGAAAATATAAAATTAGGAAGCATGCAATGGCATTTCAGAAATGGTCTTAAAAATGCATGCGTATATTGTTTTGGATGAATAAGATGTAGTTCACATTGGACAAGACAAAAGTACTGAAAGTGCAGCCAAAATAAAACTCCAAGTAAGACGTTAAATTTGTGATTATTATTCAGTAATCTCATCTTTCAGACATTTTTTGGTTCAGCTGTTGAAAATATAAAATTGAATAATGGTGAGAATTCTGTCTCTGATGACCATATCCAAGCAGTTTGCAGGCAGATGTTGGAAGAGGTATGATAGAATTTGCTATACAGTCATCTTGACACAAACGTGTTTTATTGTTCTTCAACACATATAAAGGTCCATTTTTGGACAGTCATAAGTTAAAGATCGCTTGAAACATATTTACACAAGCTAAAAAGGAACAGACTGTGTTGGATGGGTCACATTGCAAAAGAGTAATGGGTACTGTTTCTTGAAATGAAATAATAGATGGGTATGTTTTTGGTTGACAGATATGTTTTATTTGTTTCATTAGTGACTTGCATCTCTTGTTAAAGTAGTCTCTGATGGCTATTGTTTCTGTTTTTATTTTCAGGCCAAAAAGATGTACATTCGTGAATCAAGGAGTCCCACACCAGTGAGAGATGGCTACGTGTCAGACAACCCATCTGAAGTGGGGAGTTTGACAGGGTCACATGCTGGGAGAAGAAGGGTATGACTGAATAGTTTATTATTAAAGAACTGACAACAGGTTAAGCTTATGTTATTATTGTAAATTGATAGGAATTTGGACAGTGCTGTTGCACATTTTCCTTAATTCTTGTAAAAGTAGTCTGATAAATATTGCATAATATTGTAAGAGTTCAGACTGTGAAAAAGATAATGTTATAACTTTATTGGCAATGTTAGGCTTGCAAAAAACATTTATTTACCTAAATATTTTGAAATATCTGATTTTGAAATTTTAGAAAAGAAGAGGCTCAGATACAGACTCAGAAGCTAGTGTGCCAACAAAGAGAATTAATGTGTTCAAGGTAAGAAGAAGCAAATAAAACAAAACAGCAGAAATGTATTCAAATATGTTTAATGTGTTATTCAAATATGTTTATGAATATTTAATTATGAAAAGGTTCAGGCAAAATCAAAGTAAAACATGTGATTTGAAGCTAAATGGAAAATAAAAACATGCAAATGAAAAATGGCAACATGAATGCACATATTTATTCTCTTTTTCTCTTTTATTTAGAAAAAGGGAAGGCCCCCACTTTCATCAGGGTAAGTATGTTTCACAATAAATGGAAACTTGTGAGTAAAGATTAGTTTAACAGTGATGATCAGTTTGAACAGTGATATTTGTCAAACAACCTTAGGTAAAAATTTGTAATTAAGCTGACATTGTACCTTTGTGTTTCATAGAAGATCAACTCCATCAAAAACATCAAAAGCAGATAGTGTGAAGAGGGAAGGCCACAAGGTAAGACATCACAAACTTTTTTCAAGAATGAAGAAAATGAAGCATTTAGTACAACTTACCTTTTATTCTGCATTGACAAAATTAAAATGCCTTTTAGGTTTCATGAAATGAGATCACATTATTGTTACGTTATTTTAGTGCAAGTCTATCTGCTTGCACATTTTCTATTTATTTTCTGTGACTTAAGACTTTCTTTTTTTTCAGTGGGATGCTGACCGTTTAAAAGAAGAGACATTGTTTATCATGGGGTCGAAAGCTAATAAGTATGTTTTATATATCTATGTAAACCGACAACTAAATTAATATAAAATATAAATGATGAAACAATATTTCAGATTCTAAATTATCCACTGCATCAAATTTTATTTATTTTTCTACAATGATGCTGTCACATTTGTTTACATGTATTTTTCTTTCCATGAAAAAGGGCATTAGGTCTTGGAGCTACTCGAGGACGACTGTACATCAAACATCCTGATATATTCAAGGTTGGGTGTTTTTATTTTTTGCTCATTTACTTCACCTATTTATAACACAACATTTTCTGTAACTGATGTAAGCATTTTATATTGATTCAGAAGTACTTTGAATTCCTACTAATTACTAGATATGTATTCAAACATTTTTCATGTGTGAAGCTTTTATATAGTAGAAATTAAGAAACTTGACACTTTTGTTTTTTGCTATCTCTAGTATTCTGGAGACCAAGATGATAAAGTGTGGCTTTATGAAAACCATAGAATGCCAGCCACTGGAGGAAAAGCTTATCTTTTACTGGTGGAAGATATGCAGGAACTTATTGAGAGCTCAGAGTACAGGTATGGTAGCTGCTGTGATATTTTTAATAGTGTTAAGCACGTGGACCCTAGTTTCAAAGCCAATGATGACACTTTCTTCATTTTCAATTTCTGTAAGTGCTCATGTGTCTCATTTGAACTGTAGGAGCATTTTTTGTGTTAAATGATTGACACGTAACGTGACAGGTACAAATGTTACATAACTCTGTGAAGTTTGTCACATGGCCTTCTTCATAGCCACAAAATCTGGATTATTGGGTGTGCCTCAGTATCATTACCATGCATGCACCCAGTGTATGAAGGTTTGAAAATGAAGAATCTGAAATGTATCAAATCTGAAACTCTGGGTAGGTGCACATTTGTTTTAACATAATTCAGTTTTTTTCCAGAAAAGATTAGTCTTGTAAGTTTAAATTTTATAGAAACGATAATTTGTCTTTTCACTGCACATATTTCACAACAGATGCAAATGTAGCAGTAGATAAAAGTTGTACAAAATTTTTGAAACTATTTTATATAAATCACAATTCTTCTTTCATTGGAACTACAGTGTATCTCAGCCTTTGTTATTTTCCAGTTACAGCCCTAGTCAGCGTATGTGGATATTTATTTTTCTTTCTCATTTCCTTCATTTCAGAGATAACAGCGGGCTGATGCCAGAGCTGATCAAAGGTTTCACAGTACCAGACTGGATGATAGAGAAGATGAAGATCCAGATGATGGCCATGAGGACAGATAAAGGGAAGAAGGACAGGAGCAGGTCAGCCACACCCATGGAGACCAAGACCAGCAACCAGGTCATGGAGGTGAGATTACTGGTGATTTATATGGACACAGTGGTTTAAATGTTAAGAAATAATGGATAAAGAGGTCACATTATAAAACTTACAAAGTGATCCATTTATTTCAAAAACTAAGCATGGTTTTGAATTTTAGTCATTGAATTGTGCTTTCTTTTGGTGTCAGCAGACCAGTTTTTCTGTGAAAAGTTAAGCTGTTGATGTGATTTTATTGCATTTTGTTATCTGTGTACACGAGTTTGGTAATTATTTGATTCCAGGAGAATGCAGTGGATGCAGATGTGGAATCTGATAAACATTTACCATTTACAAATGAAGAAAGCTCACAGGTCACATTGGGAGCCTGCAAGAGGGAACAGCAGGTTAGCTTTGGAAATTTGGTATATTTCTGTCAGAAAATGAAATTGGTTGTTTTTGTTTTGATCTTGAGTTTAATTAACAATTTTAAATTAAATTGACTGTCAACATAAATTTGAAATTATTATAATAAAGACATTGTAAATTTTTACGGCTGTTCACCACAAGTTTGAAAAAATCGGTGGACCCCTTTAGTAATGGAAAGAGTCAAAAAGTCTATGCTAATTATAGCAATATTGGATAATAGAGATTGTAGAGAAATATTTGAAGAGATGAAGTGCTTTGTATTTCCAGCCATCTCCGGCAAATACAGAAGAGATGGAACTGCTGTCTTCACATGGAGAGGAGGACAACCCATCGCCATTTGGTATCACAGGCGGATTTGGAGGGGTTAGCCCTGCCCCAGGGGGGTCTCCCTCAACTTCAGACTTACTGGATGATGCTGCCCCATTAACTGGACCTTTTGAATTACAATATGGTGGACATTAGAATAATTTGGTGATGTTGTTTTCAGCTTGTCTAACAAGAGTAGGTGCTAAATCAAGAGGAAGAAGTTTTAGGAGTTTTAGTGACACCTGAACTGGAACATCTGTGATGGGATTATTGAAGATCTGTGTTGATTTAAATAGACAAATAGACTTGACAGGTCTTCATGAATGTTCTTTGTTACTTGCTGGTCAAGGATTTATAAAGATTTGAATGTTAATGCTGGATAAGCAGCTGCTTCGCACAAGAAAAGAAACTGTTTGATAGTAATAATTTGGATTATAACAGTGGTTTTATATGAAAATGAATTTTAGACTACTGTTGTTAAGATTGCTGTTTGATATTTTTATAGAAGTATTGTGCCGTGAATATTGTATGGAAGGGTTTAAAATTTCATTAATAATATATATTTTAAATATATTGTGTAAAGATATTAAAAGTTGTTTGTAGACCATGTACACATATTGCTTTGTATTCAAAGTATATTCTTTAAAATTTTTATCCTGGTGGTTGAATCATCATTTACTTGAAAAAAGCCCCTGTCTCCTATTACTCCTTGCCCTGTTCGATTTTCAAGGGTTGAATGCATTAGTCACGAAATGAAAAAAAAGTGATAAACTTGCCCAGTAATATTGTTATTGTTTTTGATAAAATTCAAAATATTAATTCAAATTTTTGGGCCTGTCTCTGATGTTTAATTGATGAATTATGTGTTTGTGTTTATGCTGTGAAAGAATGCATGTGTGTATGCTGTTTAAGTTGACAATTCCCAGAAACTAGCTCTGAAACAATACACAACATTGCATTTTGTCAAAAAATTTTGAATATGAATTGAAGAATAAACCCGAGCTTGAGCAAGTCACCTCTACACACTGTTTATTCAGGCATCTATCCAGCAGGTCTTATTTTTTAATCTTAAAGTGGTATTGATCTTCATTGAACATTTCATCGACTTTGAATACGCTCAATTCAGTTTGTTTGTACCATCTCCGTAGAGACGTGGTGAATGCACAGTGATTTTTGTGGCAGACACTATTTTCAAAATGAGTGAATAGAAAGGTTCTAAATGCCAACGCCCTATTCGTGGTCATGAAGGTCCACATGAGGAATATTGCACATGTGTGAACACTTTGTCAGAAGATTTCGAAAAACAACCCATGGCTTCGAATTCAGGTGAGAGTGAAACTGACCAGCCGTCAACTGCTGCTGCTAGTGAACCAGTCGAGATAGAAAAGAAAAGAAATGAGTTTTTCCAGTTCATATTAAGGTAAATAAGGATAATGATTGTACTAATTTTTGGCTTGTTTGAATACGAAACTTATATTACCCTCTGCAAGGGTTGCAGATTGATTTTTCAGTAGATATTCAATATATTTCTAGCTAATTCATGGCACAATTTGCATTATAAAAAAGAGCACAGTCTGCGACTCAGATAGAGGGTTAGGCTAGCACGAAATCCGTGCGTTAGCCTTCCTATTTACAGTTTCTGATAGCGTATACATCAGGAACCTTGAAAAGGAGTTCTAACGAATAAATTTGGGGCACTTTTGCAGTAGGTATATTTTCCCCACCCTTGTACTCTTTAATTTTTAGAGGGGAAATACTGCAAAAGTGACAAATTTCGTGCTAAGGGCCCGATATAGTAGTTTACTGCATTTGAAACTGTCACATTCTTTTTTCTAAGTGCAGGAAAACGGCTGTTTGTACTTTTTTTATTAAGAATAATACAAGACATTGAATCTAAATGCAAGCAGTGGTTCATGAGTACCGGTGTAGCATGAAAACCTGACTCCCCTAAATTGTGATCCCCAGTCAAATCTTCATAATGAAAATGTGACTCCCCCCTCCCCCATGAAATTTTGACTCCCCCCCCCTACAAAAATAATTTACCATCAAACTTTCAAATATTTCCAATTTATTCTTCATTAAGTATACTAAAAGGGAAAATCTTGAAATGATCACCAAATGTCAAATTAATAGCTTTCTCAAAGGAGATCATTGGGTGGTAGAATACACATTTTTAATTTTATTTTTCATGATTTTTAAATTTTTCCCCTTTATATTTTACAATCAAACTTTCAAAAATATCCAATATATTCTTTATCAAGTATACTAAAAAGAAAGATGTTGAACTGATCACCAAATATCAAGTAAATAGCTTTTTCATAGGGGAGTCATGGGGTGGTAAAATACACATTTTAAATTTATTTTCTCATGAAAATTTTCACCTGCAAACTAACAAAAAGTGCCAATGAATCCCTCATTATGTATACCACAAGATAAAAGTGAGTCAAAAAAATATTCCTAAAGTTTTGTAGGGGGTGGGGGTAGGGAGTCTAAATTTCACGGGGGAAGTCAGCTTTTCATTATGAAATTTTGACTGGGGAGTCACAATTTAGGGGAGTCAGGTTTTCATGTAACACCCGTACTAGAAATTTGATTTTGCGGAGAATAGTGTATCAATAATATAATATTGTAAAAACTTTTCGCGAAAAATACCATACTTAACTAATTTTTCTGGGTGGAACGGTGTCCATTCCGGTTAGAAAACCCGATAAAATGGCGAGAGACCGGAAAAGAAGCACTTAAATAGTCTGTGTTGACAATGAGGTGTCCCGTTGGACAAATTCTCAAAAATATCACGTACGAAGTGACAAATAAATAGTTTTTTAAAGAATTAACTTTGCAGTTTGCAAAGAAAAATCTTAAAAAACGCGCTTCAAAGCTCTTTAATAACATGATTGTGACCTGTTATTTCATTTATTTTAGATGCAATTTATGTTGAGATGGTGAGGTTTTTAGATACTTATTTATTTCATATTTACTTTTGTCCTAAAATTGCTATGCATGTTCACTTTGATTGATCATCGTGATTAGCATGAGCTCGGGCGAATCAAGCAAATGTATGAAAAGTCCTTTTACACACTTCTAATCGATTTCAGGGGTGACCATAGTGGTCTAAGGGCAATGTTTCCAGACCCATCGCCGCAAAATGATCAAACCCATGCAGATGAGAATGCCCCTCAACCGACATGCGTTCGATCTGGCAAACCGAAAACGTGCCGCAATTTACCTTTTCTAGGCTCTAGCAGCAGAGTACACCCCGAATCTCAAGGCGACAAGGTAAACAAAGGCACAGCAGAGAATTTACTCTTTCAATCGTATCCAAGCACCAAAGATAACTGTATGAAAGGGACATTGTTGGAGGGTGGCCTTCCGCTTATCGTTGCCGCCTGTAACGTAGCCTTACCCGAGGAAACTCAGAAAGAAATAATCGACATTTTAATGGAAAAAGCAAACAACATATTTACCCCCGAAAAAATAGAGGATTTGTTCTCCCCAAAGAAAAATAAGAAAGGTAAAATGTGTTTCACGAACTGGTCCGTCTGTCTACCCAGCCCTGGGTGGAACTGCTTTTCACTGAGGAAAACCTGGAGAACTCACTTCTCATTCCTAGGTCACCACTGAAAAACGAAAGTACTTTTATGATGATGGAGGAACCAAAATCTGCTAGACCATTATGTATTGATAGGATAAAGGCGATTATGAATCACATTGTTAACAAATCTTGTGAACTTTGGGATAAAAAAGCGAAAAAAGATGTTATCCTTTTTCAGCCCAATGACAAGGGATACACTATTTAGAACTGGCCGTAAAAGACGGGGCTGTGCATTTAGCCTGCTATCTGTTGGATTTAGAAAACGTTCTTAAAGTACCTGCAAATTCTGAATGTCCTGACAAGCGCCTTGTGCATCGAGATTTCGTTTACAGACTGGCACCTTTGAAAGAAATAACGGAGGATCTTAAAGTAGTGCAAAGGTTTGATGAACTATTTGTCCGTAAAGATGGCGCCTTGTCGCTGATGGAGTGCATCACCGTGAATAAGGGGGCAAAAGCCATGGAGTTTGTCAACATCGTGCCACCTGAGCCATGCTTTAGCCGAGCAATGGAGTAGATGTTTAAAAATCCATGTGATCTGGGGACTTGTTCATTTTCTAACAGCAGTAGCATTGTCTGTGTGTGCTAGTTTCCGCCCCAGTAGAGCTGAGGTTGCTTATAAGCCGGGCTGGGACTACGCGCGAGTGTCCACCGAAATCGTGGTCGTGTTGTATGTCTTGGTTCTTCTTTTCATCGAACTATATGCTCTCGCCCAGAAGGGCGCGTTGGAAAATTCTATCAAGATAATCTGGAAAGCACGATCAAATGAGCGTTATTCTGTCGTTTTTATTTTATACTCGATTTTCACCATTACAGCGACAGTTCTGCGTGTCGCTGCATATGCTTACGAAGAAATATTCTTGACTATCGCCGTTATTTTGAGTTGGTGGTCTTTCATCCATTTTCTAAGGCCTTTTAAGCGGTTAGCTTTTTATACAGTAATGATACAAAAAGTAATGTTCAAAGACATATTTCGCTTTTCTTTGCTTTTCTTGTTCCAGTTGGTAGGTTTCACGACAGCATTCCAAGTAATGTTTGAAGGTGTAGAAAATCCTCCAGAAGAATTTTCTTCTTTCGGGCATATCGTGTTTCACTTATTTAAAGTAACTATTGGCTTAGGTGATGTAACTCTTATGGAGGAGGTTAGTTATCCATGGTTTGGCGTTATCCTCTTTGCCATATTTGTCTTGATAAGCTATCTACTGCTATTTAATATGGTGATTGCCATGATGTCAGAGACAGTGCGGCTTGTCGCAGAAAACCGCAAACTTCAATGGCGGCTTCAACAGCTCCACGTTTCAATCTTCATAGAAAGACGATTGTTGCCAAAGTTTCGGCGAAATTGCATGGTCATCATCGACCAACCTTGTATACCATCTACTGTAAGAAACTGAAGCGAATCACCGAAAAGAAAAAGAAAATAAAATATACATGAACATTACAAAGTAAAAAAAAAGACAGTAGGCCTTCTTGTCATATAGTTACATTTCCTTTGAGGATTAGCCTAGAAATTATGTTTCCAGACATATTTGTACCTTAGTAATTGTATGTTCGGATTGTTGCTGATGGCTTGCACAACGCAATCACGCAAAACATTTTTCAGGGTAAAGTTGTATTTTTATCTAGTGTAATAGTTGTAAGACGACGCATTAAAGTGATAACAACTCTTTATATGAGATTCAAAGTTCCACAATAAATATATTGCAAAAGACACATAAAAACAAATTCCATTTTACCACAAAAAAATGTGGACCTTCATAGATGGCTTCTCTCCGTTAAAATCCCCTGAAAAATTATTACACGCGCGCGCGCGCGCACACACACACACACACTGGACTTACTCTGAATGTGGGAACAGAGTCATTAACCATTGGTAATTTTGGGAAAATCCTGGTTTACTCCGGGAAATCCACTTTATGGCACTTTTCCCGCCAAAAGGAAGGGTTGTTATCCCTTTAACACCTGTGAATGGAATGTTATTTGACTACTTAAAAATATTAAATCTATCATACAGACGTCTGGAGAGAGAAGCTTTAAGTTAAGCATATGAATGAATGTGAATGAAATTTGCACGATTTAGCTTCAGGCATCTCACCTGCAGGGGGGTCCAGATTCCGGGTTTTACAATTCGAAAGCATCGCAAATTACGACCGCACAAAAGCTTGGCGATCAATCGCTATTTGCCATAGCGATTGCAACTACCTGCTGACTCCAAGCCTTAGCAAACGAACGATACTAGAGTTTGATTGCCGCATAAAGTGAAGACGTCCTGACACAACTACACATAATGTAATTTTATTTGTTGTATTTTAATACAATTTTAATAGGAAATTTATAGGAATATCACAATTCCAAATGCTGGTATATGAAGTGTTTGACACCAATATAATGTCAAAAACAATTTAATAAGCGAAGTGCACGTGTTATTATTATGTGATATTGTTTACAAATGAGGACCTCACAGATGTAAATATAAGTATTTCTTCAAGTACTTCTTACGGACTCGGTTCCCACCCTCCAGGATTGCCTTCTCCCCCTGGTGCCACCTAGGTCATCTGTATTGTTGTGACTGTTTTTGATTAATTTCAAAATATTAATCTGAATTTGCAGGCCATCTCCTTACCAGTCTCTAGTGTTATACTGATGAGATATTTGTTTGTGAGCATACTGTTAAAGAAAAAAGTGATTCTAACTGGAGTATTGACAATTCCAAGAAAAATACCTCTGACACAATACACATCACCGTATATAACCTCAATTTGTCAATAAATATTGAATGTGAATAACAGAATAATGAATCCAAATTCAAGCAAATCACTTCTGCTAACTGTTTATTCGGGCATACCTCCAAGTCTTTTTTTAATCCTAACAAAAAGGAATTGAATCTACTGTAAACATTCCACTGACTTTGTATGCTCGCTATTGGTTTTCCACTTCAACCCGGCATTGATCGATTCTTGCATTGACTGTTTGTGTCCTAACAATAGGGTCGATTTGTTGTATTGTTGAGTTAACCCGCACAGTTCAATAAGAAATAAAATGGCAGCTAAAGTTTGGTTAGAAAGTTAGAGGTTTAGCAGCTGTAAATTTCGTTTTTATCCCCTTGTGCGAGTATGTGAACAATCAGATACTGCTGCGCCATTGTTCTTAAACCATCTGTCGGGTTTTCGCCTTAAATAACCTTTGTACAGGTAGGACCTACGTCACCGTCATTTCCAAAGACCCTTAATCCCATTCTTTTCATATGCTAAATAGATGTAAAAGGTTAACAAATTGCCAGCAAGCAAAAATTGAAAAGGCTTTTGTTTAATTGTTTCATTGCAGTTGAATTAAACATTTCAATCGCGACATTAAACTTTCTCTGAATTATTAATCGTGCCTTGTGTGTGTGTGTGTGTGTCAACGCATTATAAAGGCACATAATATTTAGCAACCATAGAAAGACTGTTGTTTACGTAACACTATAGTTAGAAAGCGACATCATGGCACATTAAGGATCAGACGCACAAGTGGACGTTGCCATGTGAATCGAGGATTAAATAATCTAATCGAATAACGCGAATCAGTACGGGTGGAAAGCTCGATCGATGTGTCTACTGCGACTCTAATGTATGTTATCAGAATCTCCAGTGGGACTGAGGTCCGATAGCCTTATCGTACAGAAGTTATTGAACGGTACCTGGTCGGCCGATAAAAACATTGGGTTTAACAGAGATGGGGGTCTCAATCCAGCGAGACGATTTTTTCGAGTATATATTAAGGTAAATATGGATAAGGGAACTTAGTTTTGACTGTGTTAGTTTCGGCTCGTTTGAACGTCTACCTAATAATTAGTTAGGCTTCCCTTAAACTGGTTAAAATGTGTATTGTACAGTGAAGTTGATATAAATTAGAAGATTGTTCTGCGTTATCAAGGATCAATGCGTGTTTACCTGGCTGCAGTTAGAAACAACTTTGTAATGACTGAAAAGAAAAGAATAACTTTTCACACACTTCTTATCGATTTCAGGGGTGATATTGACGGTCTGCAAGCAGTGTGTCGAAGCATCATCTCAAATATAAGGAAAAACGAAAGTGGTGCAGTTGTACACATTGAGAATGATACTCAGCCGGCAAGCGGTCGGCCAAACGTGCCGCCTGCGCGCCGGAGATTACGTTACTCAGACTCTAACAGTGTACACCCTGAATCTCAAGGCAAAAGAGAAGACGAAGAAACAAACGGGAATTTATTATTCCAGCCGTATCCGAGCACCGAAGAAAATCCCACAGAGGGGACATTGTTGGAAGGTGGCCTTCCGCTTGTCGTTGCCGCGTGTAACATAGCCTTACCCGAAAGAACTCAGAAAAAAATAATCGACATTTTAATGGAAACGGCAAACGACATATTTACCGCCCAAAACATGGAGGATTTGTTTCCCCTGAAGTGGAATAAAAAAGGTAACAATGTGTTTCACGAACTGGTCCGTCTGTCTATTCAGCCTTGGGTCGAACTGCTCGTCCAAGGGAACACAATAGACTCTCTGGACAGCACAATTGTCTATCCCATGTCGCCACTAAAAAACGGATCGACGTTTCTGTTTAACGAGGAACCAAAGACTGTCGTTAGACCATTATATATAGAAAGGATTCAAGCGATTATGAGGTACATTCTCAACAAACCTTGTAAACTCGACAAAGATGAAGTGAAAGAAGACGTCATTCTGTTTCAGCGCAATAAGAAGGGATACACACCTTTAGAACTGGCAGTAAAAGTTGGGTCTGTACATTTAGCCTCCTATCTGTTAGAAATGGAGGACGTTCACAAGGTTAGGATGTCAGACGACTCGGAAAAATATAGGAACAAGCGCCTTGTGCATCGAGATTTCGTTTACAGACTGGCTCCTTTGAAAGAAATAACGGAGGATCTTAAAGTAGAGCAAAGGTTTGATGAACTATTCGTCCGTAAAGATGGCGCCTTGTCGCTGATGGAGTGCATCACCGTGAATAAGGGGGCAAAAGCCATAGAGTTTGTCAACATCGTGCCCCTGAGCCATGCTATAGCCGAGCAATGGGATAAACGTTTCAAGATCCATGTGATCTGGGGAATTGCTCATTTACTTACAACAGTAGCATTGTCTATATGTGCTAGTTTTCGCCCCGCTCCCTCACTTCATGTGGATGAAGGTAATCATACATATCAACATCTCAGTATTGATAAAGTCACTGGCATTTACACGTCAGGCGGGGACTACGTGCGGGCTGCTTTTGAAATCGTGGTCGTCTTGTATGCCATTGCTCTTCTCATCACCGAACTGGTTGTTCTCGTCCAGAAGGGAGTGTTTCGTAATTCTATCAAGATGCTCACGAAAGTACGAGCGAATGAGCGTTATTCAGTTGTATTTATTTTATACTCGATCTTCACCATTACAGCGGCAGTTCTACGTGCGGCCGCGTTTGACTACGAAGAAATATTCCTGACTATCGCCGTAATTTTGAGTTGGTGGTCCTTAATTCATTTTCTTAGACCTTTTAAGCGTTTTGCCTTGTACACAGTAATGATACAAAAAGTAATGTTCAGTGACATTTTTCGCTTTTCTTTGCTATTCTTGTTCCAGTTGGTAGGTTACACAACAGCATTCCAAGTAATGTTCGAGGGAGTAGAAAACCCTCCCGAAGAATATTCTTCCTTTAGTCAAATTATGTTTCACTTGTTCAAGATTACCATTGGCTTAGGTGATGTAGGCCTTCTGAATGAAGTTCGTTATCCAGGTTTAAGTATTGTCCTTTTTGTCTCATTTGTCTTGGTAAGCTATATATTTCTATTTAATATGGTGATTGCCATGATGTCAGAGACAGTGCGGGTAGTCGCAGAAAACCGCAAACTTCAATGGCGGCTTCAACAGCTCCACGTTTTAATCTTCATAGAAAGACGATTGTTGCCGAAGTTTCGGCGAAATTGCATGGTCATCATCGACCAACCTTGTATACCGTCTATTGTTAATGATGTTGAAAAAAGGTTGAGCGAACCACCGAAAGGGAAAAGAAAGAAAAAAGAGGGTAAAAAGAAAAAAGCCATCAATGACAGTGGTTACGGTTACTCTCCCTTGATGGACACGCCTTAAATTAGATATTTAGATATAAAATTAAGGTATATGGTGCTGCATGTTCGGACGATGCGACTAGTGACAGCAAAAATACTGGACCAAATATTTTTCCTTGTCAAACTGTATTATTATCCGAGTGTAATCAACTTTTATACATCGCGACTATGGTTGTATGGCGTATTAATAACTATGAATAAGATAAACTGACTTTGTTAGAATATTAAATCTAACATTATATACTTTTATATTCAAGAATAATGTAAATAAAATTTTGTAGCCTTATGCTCTTCCACTATTTAGCAGTTTCTCGTCAGCACATTTTGACATCAGGGCCCCATGAAAATTGGCTCTTGAAACCATGTGTCTGTACAAAATGTGTTCCTTATACGTATTATGTCAATAAAAAACTCTATTTTCTAGCGTTTAGTTATTGGAGAATGGTTTCAGTTTCCATAAAACTCATGTATTGTCTTTTTTTATCTTCCTCCTCCATGTCAACATAGTCTGAACCTGATTTTTTCGGTAATTATTCCTGTTTCAAAATGAATGAATGAATGAATAATTATAACAATGATAATCAATACATCAATACATAGAAAACCTTTGGGTTTTATCTTTACCACTGTTCAAATACGGTGCGACGTTCTATAAAACAAATGCATCGTAACTCCGCGCAGAAGTATTTTAAAACTGAATTTAACGACGGTTCTTATTAATCACGAATAAACTATTATAATAATTAACCATTATATACCAACATGTATATCACCAAAACAAAAGACTGGGAGATTAAAATGAGCCTTGCCTTTTCATTAAGTAAATTACACACGTTACCACAAGTATTAAGGCTACCAGAGGAACCAATTAATGTTCCCACGAAAACGTGTGATAAGCTACTTTTCCCTGTTGTGATGTTTTGAAGACTTGTAATTGTAACTGCTGTTAGATCAGTGTTGATCGTGGGCGTAAATGTTGACGTAAGCGCTGATGTAACTGTATCTGTCGTTAATGTTGTTGAATCTTTCGTTGCTGCTATTAGTTTTTCTGTCCTAACGTCTGTTATGGAACTTGTGGCAATCGGCTTTCCCTTTTTCTACCAGACAACATTTTGTGTTAAGTGCAGTATACCAAAAAGTGCATGATGATCGTATTTTTATTTTTATCTATTTGTGAACGTGTATTAAAGTAAATGAGATTTGATATCTCGTCTGGTATCGCTGTGCTCAGCGATTGGACCAGAAAAAATATCAGCTTGTAAAGATGCAAGGGTAGGCCTATAATTATTTAATTTCTGAAACCGTGGAGAGCACTAAGGGTCTATTCCCACGACTTTAGATCGATCTATCACCGCGGGGAGTCTCACCAGATTACTGTCAGATAATCCTCCTTAAGTGTCCGTCCCCGCCTACTACAAGCTGCAAGTGGTAATTAACTTTCGTGTCCGCCCGGCTGACAGCTATTTAGCGTGAACCCCCCAGGGAGTTAGGTCGATCTAAAGTAGGTCGATCTAATCTATGGAAATGGGGTGTAAGTCTAGCATTATCGGCTGCATAAAAACGTGCCGGGCCTTAACCAGAGAAAGATAGTGAAATCTTTCAGATAAATACGGTTTTCTAGAGAGATTTTTTTATCTTTAATGTTGATTCACAAAAGCCAGCTTAGATAAAAAAAAAATCCGTTTTCGGGTCAAACTATCAATATTTATGAAATTATTTCTTCAAAAAGGGAAAAAACGTTTTAACAATTGAAACAATTAAAATTTTATAGAAGATTTTTCTCGAAGCTTTCTTAAGATAATCTTCAAGATATTTGTTATAATGAACGTAAGAATGACTCAGTCGTAACTGACTGCAAATTAGGTTGCTTTTAGTCCGTCTTTGAAAGTGGCGCCGTCCATGTCGCGTGTTGGAACCTCACCAAGTTTTGGTCTCGTTATGGCGGATGCTTAACACATCAGTGAATGAAAGCTGAAAATGAGGCAATAGCGAGGATATCGTTCAAGATGGCCGCAAGTGCTTCAGGCGAATCTTTTACGTATGGGTATGTTGGCAATATTCCGGCAGCGTATCATTCTTCGGATTTACGGAATTATTTCTCCCAATTTATAGAAAGAGGAGGATTTGACTGTTTTCATTTTCGCCACAGACCAGAGATAAGAAAACCCGTAGACAGTGATCCTTCGATGTCGAATGAGACTGAGCTTCATCCTCAAAGTCAAACGACTGGCACCAAAACGTTGTGTTGCGTTTTCAGGTTGAAAAAACAGAAGCTAGAGGAGCTCATCAGACAATATCACAGAAAACACTGGTTGGACAGGAATGGTGAATCTATACGACCACTATGTTTGATTAAACGTGTGAGGATAATGGATGAAAAAGGTTCGACATTTTTATTTGTTTAATTTGTTTAATTATGCAATTAACAGTAATAAATTATATAATTACCAGTACTGCAGTAATGATGTTTGGCCACGTTCGGGTGTCACTTTGATCATTAACGAATCTATAAACTTCATAAATTCATTTTTTGTTGTTATTTTGCACTAACAGAGTCAGACTTATAATGCTGTAAGTATTAGACATTTGGAACATTATGTTCATGTAGTCTGAGATTACAGTGCGTGTACTAATGCATATCAATGTAGTTCTTTGAATTCAATTTTTGTCTTGAACCCTTTCATTTATTATTATATAATTTCAGATATGGGAAATCAGAGATATAAAACAAGAAGAGAACAAAAACAAATTCCACAGGACAGAGAACAATTTACCAGAGCTGATTTATCCAAACTGATAGAACTTCATCCTCCTGATATAATGCCTAATGGCAATGTGGGAACTCCAACTTTGGTCTTTTTAGACCTGATTAAGCAGTGCAGGCTGCCTCCAGTTATTATAAAAAAACTCGGACTCTCATTTCCAAAGACAAGGTCAAAAAGAAAATATGGGAATGTCCCCTTTGAATATGGGGGAGAGGTAATTCAAGGAGACTCTACTGACACTGAGACTCATGTTATAAGTGGTAGTGGACATGTTCTGCAAGCAGAGAGTGCAACTCCAGCAGAACTGTTAGGTAATCAAGAATATAACATGGAAGACAGAACAAAGGGGAAGAAAGAGGATCAGGACAGTGAAAATGAAGAAAATGAAGATTCTGATCCTGACAATGTGAGCAAACAAAAAAAACTCCTGTAGCAGAACAACTATCTTTAATTATCAGAAAAAAATCAGTAACTATTCAGTTAACTTTAATTCTATCAGTGATATACAGGCCATGGTTGAAGTGAAATATTTAAGAGTGGAAGCAATATATCCGGAAAACTTTCTGGTACATTTAAGTGTTACAGTAATGATAGTGAGATGAACTCTGACAGAGCCAAAAACCTAAAAGTATTTACAAAAAGAAAGTTTGGTGATAGGTGTATTTCAAAGTTCTGCAAATATTTTGTTCTCTATTCAGGATGACGACACCTGTGAGGAGTGGGAACGCCATGAGGCCACCACGGATGACCCCTGGGATGTTGAGAGGAACAAGGAGAGGCTATTTGAGGAGGACATAGAGCTAAAGTGGGAGAAGGGGGGATCAGGACTGGTCTTCTATACAGATGCTCAATACTGGGATGAGCAGGAAGGAGGTATGTATGAAAATCATGACTGTGCAACGTTTTTGAACATAATTACTGCATTTTAGTCAAATAAACAAACTATTGACCCAAAATATGCTTTGTAAACTTGCATTATTGGGATTTGAAGTGTTGATGATAATTACCTATTATAACTTTTCTGCACAGCATTTNATAATGTACTTTTGCATCAGAATTGACAGTAGCCTATTTTGTGCATAGTTATTTCCTGTTTTTTGTCTGTACATTTGACAGCTTTGCTGCCTTGTTTATATTTATAAGTAGCTTAGTGTGGATTTTTCATCAAAGCTTGTGTTCTGTTTCAGACTTTGATGCTAAGACAGCAGATGACTGGGATGTTGATATGAGTGCATATTATGATGCTGAAGGTGGAGACATGGATGCTAGGGATTTCCTTGCAATGAGAAAGGAAACTAGGAGAAGAAATGGGGAAGAAGATATATCTGTTGTGAATAATAAGATTGGCAAATTTGAAAGGCATACCAAGGTATTTTATATTTTGTTGATATTGCAGTAAGATCTCTAAGAATATTGAAAGTGAAATTTTGTAGACTAAACTGTTTTTGAGGGTGGTAAGCAAAAGAACATAACCCTGGTGTTAGTATTTTGTATTTAATTTGGTTAGTGTCAGACACAAATTCTGTATTTACTAGTAAAGATATTTGTATACACTCTGAATTTCAAGGGGATTGGAAGGACAATATTAGAAAGACAGGGCTGGACAGATGGTCAGGGTTTAGGTTCCACTATACGTGGAATGGCAGATGCTTTGGACAATGATGGACAACACCCAAAAGATAAAAAAGGATTGGGGTAAGTTCAGCACTGGGTGAAAAAAATACTTGATGATATTCAGTCATAAGCCAAGGCCAAAATACTCTAGTAGAGACTTTAGATAATTTATTCTGATCTCTGTCCCTCTCTCCCGTCACTGAACTTTTAAAATTTGTTTTGGTCAAATATCTTTATTAATTCAATTTGGCAGGTATCATGGGGAAAAACTTATTCGTTATGGCTTCAAAAGACCGAGGGCAGAAAAGCAGGTGATAATTTCCACAATATATGACAATCCAGAAGACACTGACCCAGCTGAACCCTTACTGCGCAGGAAAAACCCACACTCCTTGAAATACAGAGAACCAGTAAATTTTACAAAAGCTTGTGACAAGGAATAGATTTTTTCAAGTTTGATGTGCTGAATAAACACAAGACTTGTGTTGGATTATGGAGATTCCTCATGGTTTGAAGTAGCAAAGTTGAAATCACTGTTGTCACTTAAATGGAAATTTAGTTAGTCGAAGTAATCTTATGTACATACAAAATAAATTAAACACAAACAGCACAAGTGCAATAAAATTATATATTTTTTAAAATAAGAGCTATTGCTATATTTTTCAATAAAAGTAATAAACTTAATTAAAAATAAATACTAGTTTTTTCTTGTGCACACGACAAATAGGTGAGTACACAAGCATCACATCTAAACTTCTCTGGAGTATATTATTTATATGTGTATAGATATGGAGATATGCTATTCAATCAAATCTGTATTTATGAAGTTGCTGAGCTTTTTGATGCTTTATAAAACCATTCAATGTCCAATCACTACACAAAACTGTTATAGGGAGGGATGTTTAATCACAACAGCAACTTTTTGGCATGTATGCTTCTAAATACTTCTGCAACATCCTCCAATATAAAATTACAGAAAGGTATGCAGCAATTTAATAAGTTGGATCACAATGAGCTGCTTGTTGCCTTGTGTACATCTTCATTAAGACCTTGAGTGATTTTCCCCATGTCAGAAGCAACACTTCTAATAAGTGACACAGCTTCCTTTGAAGAAATTGGACGGATGTGTTCTGTGCCTGGAGCCCCACGGCGCTTTGCATCCTGCTGAATGAGGACTTGGACTTTTTGGTTGATTTTCAAGCATTGCTCTTGGTTTTCTTTCATCCGCTGGATTTTCTCTTTACTGTGTGCCTGGAATTAGTATGGAAAGAAACTGCACTCAACTGTTGTAACATATGTGATTTTTTGTCCCTTTAAAGTACAGCACCACTACAAAAAAAATTAATAAATAAATAAAAATAATAATAATAATAACAATAAACAATAATAATAATAAAAAGAAAATAGTAATAATGAAGATAAAGTCACTTACAAAAATTACCCAAAAAGAAATAATAAATCGATAAGTAAAAAGAATAAGAACAGAAGAATTGTCATCTGTGCTACTTACTGTTCTCCTTTCATCTGCCTTCCTCTGCTTCTCATCTATTTCTTCCTTCGAATGAACCTTTTTCTTGTTTTGGGCTCTCTCCTGTAGCCTCTTTGGAATTTTTGCTCTTGGCTGGTCCTCATCGACAGATATACTGAATGCACAACCCCCTGCAGTTTCTGTATTATCCATTATTCTTATAACCTTGGCAATCTGCAATATAGATAAAAAATATCGGTTTTTACCAAGAGCTAGAATTTAGAAGAGTTCTGTGTCAAAAACAACTTCTAAATTGTTTCCAATGATATTTCCGATGTTAGTTTACAGCTTCTTCACACCATTTATTTAGCTTACCTTAGCTGTTAATTGGTAAAGCATGCAATCAAATCCACTGCCGTTAATACAACGGTTCTTTAAATCTCACAATACGTTTTGTTTACATTTGAAATGTTTTGTTGTCCGCCATTTTGGCCAGTAGGGGTCATGTGACCTAGTGATAACTTGTCGAAAAAAATTAAGGAGAAATTAAGAGCATTGCTTTTTTTTGATTAAAAAATAGATCTAGGGGTTTATATCATGAATAATTTCAAAAAAATATTTGGTTTTCGTTATTGTTATTTTGCTGTATCAGTCTCGCGGGGTTTTCGAGATCAGTCACGAGATGTAGCATGGCCGACAAGTGGGAGGTGAAAGCATGTGGGGAGTCAAAAAGGTCAACAGATATCGATAAAGCAGTCGATCTTTATAGGGATACCCCCGTGAGATATTTAGGTAAGGATTTGACTGATGGGGTTTTCAAATACCTAACCCATTTAAAGATATGTTTCATTGATAAGCTGACTTCAATTTAGTGACGATAAGTTCGTCTGCTTACTCGGACTCGTCGTACACCTGTACTGTAGCTCGACACAACATTAAAATAAAGATTGGACGACCAATGGCTTAATATTTTGACCACTGCTTTATGGAACGCTCTGAGACTGATATAGAGCACTGTTACTTGCAGGTAGAGCCACATTTTGGCTTGGAAGTTCAAGTCGACTTTTAGTCAATTTTACATGTGTAGTTGCTTTTAAATTACGATAGTTTTTTTTATGTTCAGTTTAATATAATTTTTGAGTTGCTCCGAAACAAAAGACGTTTCTCGCTCATGGCATCCAGTATGAGGTTTATGTTTTATTTATACCACTCCACATTCTATTCAGACATCCAATTTCAACTGATGCATTCTGTAACCGTTGTAAGACCTTCATTTCAATGTCAAATTTACATAGATCATTTATTATCCCTAGAGCATGGCTGTGAATAAAGGTTATAAAGAATTTACATTACAGTTGACTTGTGATGCTCAAAGCACAAGAATAATATCTGAGAATGTGATGCTTAATAATGTAGTATCAGCCTTTTTATTCAGTACTGTATATGCCTTATTGAAAAATTAAAATAGTTTATACAGTTGTAACTCTTAAGTACTGTAGTAGATATTGTCTTTTTAAGGTATATGAACACATTTTTATGGACTATCAGTTAAGTCAGTTAATTGAAAGTTGGTCATCAAATCGACTGTAAGACTTATTACTATTTTTATGAGTGCATAATAAAGATACTGTTTACTATATAGGGTTCCTACATGGTATTAGTGTATACTCAGAACTTCACAAATGGCCTGTTTAGTGATTGACTATGCTACTACTAGCACTCTAACTAGTAGTATTAAATGTCTCAAATGTTGTGTGACAGTATTTGTACCAGATGCATCTAGCACACAAAATCCAAAAGCAGAACTCCTACAAAGCTCTAAATATTTTGTTTCCTCTATTGTCTGCACATTTGATATTGACCTTTTGAATTGGCTTCTCTTAGTTATCTTTCAATCTGTTATGGTTTAAATTTATATGTCAAGCTGATACTGCATGTTAGTCTCTCTAACTTAGGTATCTTCTCTGTGGCTTCTGTGGGTTGTTGTTGCTGAAATATTGATGGGATTCCAAGTCTAGATCTGGGTTGCATATAATTTCTTGACATTGGGACCCTATGTGACAATTGTACCAAGTCACTACACATGACATCATGTGCCTATGCTGAACAAGGTGATGTTTTTGTTCATGTGCTTAAATTTCATTTGCAGGTTATGCAAATGAGGTTGGTGAAGCTTTTCGATCATTGGTACATGTAAACTTAGTAAGATTCAGTTATGTGGTAGCAAGCAGCTATGTTATTGCAGATGCTTACAACAAAGGAAATATAGCATCAGAGGTAAGTGTATATGAGCAAATCATAGGTCAGTTTTTAATAATATTGACAGAAATGTTTCAATTGCTGCTTTTGTTGTATTTAAAGTACTTTGCCCTGTCCACACATTCATCTAGATCTGTAAAACTTTACATGAGATCTTTTCTAAAACTTTTAATTTATTAATCAGAAAAAATGGAAGGATCCAAGTACAAAACGTACAAAAGTGACCCATGCAGTGCTTGACACTTTGGTGTGGCAGGGCCTTGCCTCTGTAGCTATCCCAGGCTTCACCATCAACAGAATATGCTTCGTCTCCAACTGGATTTTACAGAGAAGTTTACAAAAGATGCCAACTCCAGTCAGAAAGTGGACAGTTACTGGTATTGGACTTGCAGCAATACCCTTCATAATCAAGCCTATAGATAGAACTGTAGACTATCTAATGAATAACTCAATGAGAAAATGGTATCACATGGATAGCGAGGAAGAGCAGTTGGTTCACCACGAAAGAAATGATTAAAGTTTTGTAGTAATTATACATGATTTTATTGTAATTATTGTTATAGTTGCTTAAATATTATATATTATATTTAGCCAGTATTATAAACTCAGGGTAGAGTGAAAGGTTGCTAGTTTAATGCACAAATTTGAGGATAGCCAGGATTAAAAAAATTCCTTTAATTTACTGCTTATTGGTAAAATACAATTCCTGGTGAGTTCTGACAGTGATAAACCTTTGCTGACTGGTCATTTGGGATTGTGGATCTCACAAAACTATTTGTCCAAATCAAAGTTTACTAGCCAGTGATGACAAATTTTATGACAGATGGCTAATTTTATTTCGTTTTATGTCTAAGCATGTCACTATTATTTGAGTCCTCTAAGAAATAGGTAGAAGTGTTTTATGTGTTAAAGGGAACCCATACTCTCATTAGCCATTTAATAAGGCACATCTACTTGCAAATTACCTTGGGATGATGGCTTACGTTGATGATGATGATGTGTTACATGTTGAACTGCTACCTAGTCATTTTAATTTCATTTTTTACAAAAAATCATTTATCACTTTTATATAAGTGCTTGCCAAACTCTAATCAGCAGCTGATATTAAATATAAGTCATGCTCTGAGATTATAAGACAGTTTTAATGAGGATTGTTGGTTACTTTTATCATTCTTTGATATATATGTGCATTGACCAAAATATTTAACTATGCACGTGCCAAGTGTTTTTAGTTAATAATAAATAATTGGTTTTATACTTTTGTCCTAAAATGCGTTTTTGATTGACATGCAAGCTTTAAAAATATATTGAATATAATATTATACAATTTATAAATTCAATGCACCCAACCCACCCAAAAAGAAAAAAGATTAAATGCACAAAACTCGGTCCTTTTGACTTTAAGCATATTTATTAATTTTATCAAGAAAATGATAAACTCCATAGCAATATAATATTGCATGTAAAACAACATAAAATATTTAATTTTATTAAAATGAAGACAAAATTTTGCACAGCACTGTTGTATTTATCATATTTGGAAACCAGTAAGCAATAAGTGCCATAGGTCTTTCTTATACATGTACAAGCAATTTTGTATGACATAAATAAGTTTCTTGACACAATACTGAATATGAAGGCTTGATAATTTCTTAAATATCTTTTACAAGGGTGATTTGCATCTCTAAATTCACTAAGATGTGATCACTTCTCAAATCGCAGCAACTTAAAATCTTTCTCTGTGCTATTTTGGCTTTCTTTTAATGTTCTCCTAACGTGTTTACATTTTTTACAAACTTCTCTTTACTATAACAGAAAGTAATATTGGTGCCTTTTCCAAGAAGTCTTTCAATCTGCTTATGATATTTTTGTGTTTATTTGCATCATAAATTCTACAGATATAGTTTTTAATAGAAACTTTTTTTAAAAGCAGTTTTGGACACCTGCTTATGACATGTCCCACTCTTCCTCCATCAGGGGATCATCTTCATACAAATAGTTCTCAACAAAACTGTCTACTCCAAAGGGTTTATCCATTTCTAGAAAACATGAGTTAATTCAATGCAAAATAATAATAATAATAATAATAATAATAATAATGCTGTTATTGATGAAAATACAAGAAGCCTACTCGGATGTTAAATTTAAGAATAAATTTCCATTGGCTCCTACATTTTGTTTTATCACAAAAATAAACTATTTTCTACTTATTACATTCTACTTACCAATTGTAGATTCGTCTATATATTCATCATCTGATCCTGTGAACATGAAATTTTTAATTTCATTTAGAATTTCATTACTTGCACATTTTCATTTTAAACAAAACAATTAAAAAATATTTATGTATACTGCTTCATATGGAATTTTGTTGGAAAGGACAAAACTGACCTAAAACTTTAACTAAAACCACAGGTTTCAGTGCAAACAAGTGTACTTTATAGCATAATGATTAACAGAAGATCCAGGCTACAAAAAATAAATTACCCAAGTTGAAATATAGATCTCTGTCAGGCCTCATGTGTATGTCAGAGAAATCTTGCTGCATGACAGAAATGGAGGCTTTCTCTAGCTGCCTTGTTGAATAATTTCCAACACTTGTACCTACAATGATCAATGCATTCAATCAAACTGTTAAAATACATTAATTATTTCATAATAATTATAGCAACAGCAAGAAAAAAATATTGGAATTTTATGAACATCATAGCATTCTTCAATTATCTTTTAAATAATGGCAATTTAAACACCCTACAGCACATTAGGGATAAGGTTTGTGATCGAGCTAAAGTGGGTTTTTTTGATTTTGTAGCACGTCAATTAATTAATTCTTACCTCCTAGTACTATTTCCAAGCTGGAACTGTGAGAACTATGCCCTCTGTCACAACTTCTTAAAACTTCTTCAAGAAATTGATCTGATATTTGAAAGTTTCCACTTATATCCAGATGTTTAAGCTTGCAGCAGTTTTCAACCAAGAAAACCAATCCTAAAAATCATAAAAATATATATTTAAGTAAGCCAAATAACATCTTAAAGCAATAATAACTCTTCCTTTGAGATTCAAAATTCCGCATGAAATACATTGTAAACAACGCATGGAAATATGTTCTATTGTATTTAACCACTTATTGTAGTAAAACTAAAATCTGTGCTTGTCAATAGGGCTTACGATGCTTTTCTTCCCGGTCATCAAGGCATTCGTTGCTAATGACGTAATGGTGTCACGCGGATTCTAGCGTTCATTCGAGACCAAAATAACATATGGCGGCAAACGCATTAATGCACACGCAGACGTAAGTTGCAAGTTTTTGTACAGTGCGTCGAATAACGAAAAGCCCAGAATGGCACACATTGTGGATATTAATGTATTTTTAACAAAAAGACGAATATATCTCATGAATCTTATATAGTGTTGTTGTTGTCTGCTTTTCCCGCGGTTTTAAGTAGGTCAACAGTGACTATGCGATGTCAGAGAGAGCTCCGTCAGTTAAAATCTCTTAAGAGATTTTAACAAAAAACCGTATGTTTAGGAAAAAAACCCTGGATTAACTTTGAATGCAGGAATGGGGTCGCTGACCATTGGTAAGTACGGGAAAATTGCCGTTTACTCCAGGAAAATCCAATTTTTGGCCAAAATGAAGAGTTATTATGACTTAAAGTTTATGAGCTTTTGCTTGTAAATTAAATTACGTAATTATGAATGGGTCTTTGAAAAATGCACACATTAGTAAATACTGAAAATAGAAATGCAGTAAGAAAAATAGATAATCAATCACAGGATTATTAATTGTAACATAATTTAAAATTACTTACCCTGATTTGTAATTGATGCACAAGCTCTTGCTTCAACTGTTTTCAATGTACCACTTAGAGCCAACAACTTAACAGTTGCATCACTGACCTAAATAAAAAAAAAGTGATTAATAATAATTATTATTTTTATTATTATCTTGCAAATAGATATTTTGTACTTAGATGAATCAGTGCATCCAGTCAGTCAGGGAATATACATGTAGTTAACGGAGAAATTGGAAAATTCCACTCTGTAACTTTAACTTTAGAACACATGCAGGGGTTGCCCCAGGATTCGGGGTATAGGGAGTCCAAAATGTGAATCTCCAATATGGTCATCAATTTACAGTAGTCCAAACCAAGCAAACCCAACCAGTCCAGTCATCTTTGGAATTTTTGTGCACAGTATAAAACTGAGCCATTTACTCGAAAAAAGTATAATGTTCCAACTGCTTTTAATGTAAATGTAATTTTTCATTTTCATGCTTAGAAAGATATAATTCATTATTCTAAAAGAAAAATTTTTTTGTGAACATTACTGTAAACTATTTTTGAAATATTAGTGATAAAATTCGTACCTGAGGTAGATAGCTAATGATCAGGGTTTCCAGACAGGGAAGACTGGCCAGGATATCTAAGCCTACTGTGGTCAAATTCTGATAGCATCTGCTGATATTGACTTTCCTTAACTGTTTGCAACCTCTGCATATCGCATTAAGCACAGTATCTGTAACCATTGTGTTGTTGGACAAATTCAAATCCACCTGAAATAGAACAAAAAACACTATTTAGAATTTTATTAGTTGTGAAATAAAACACAGCAGACGCCATGAAATTACTTTTATATTAGACCTAAATTTTTGTTAGCTTGAGATAAAACATTGAAAAATATTATTATTTGACAAAACTCACCAGTTTTTCTAATCTGCCTACCACTGCGAGCCCAGTGGGTGATGCTGCAATTTTTATAGTAAATTGTATTATATATCAAAATCCACAAAGCAAAAATTTTAAACAATTTCTGATAGTGGAAAAAAGATTTTTAAACTACGCTGAACAGTGAAAGTTCTAGGCTTCATTTGTTTAAAAAATGTTTATAATCCCTCTTTCTTAACACAGCACTGGGAAATCTGTTTTCTGCATTGCTTTTCAAATGTGATTGAGTACTGAACTGGTAAATACTAATATTCTAACCAGTTATACTTTAAAAGAAAGTTACAATTCACCCACTTTTTCCAAATAACCCTCCTAACTTCAAAGTTGTCAGAGATGAACAAAACTGGAAAAGTACATAAAATCTGCATTTAATTCAAAGTATGTAAATTAGATGATAGCTGAGTCATAGTACAGCTAAGATTTTTCACTGATTAGTATTACATGACTTTAATGTCATATTCAAAGCATTAAAAACTTAGTTTAAAAATTGAAATAATATGAAAGAATTTCTGTATGCAGAGGTGCATAACTGGAAAAGAATCTGGTAAATTTTTTATCAGAAAAGTTTCACATACATTGTTTTGAATAAACAATAAATATAGACTTCATGTAACTTTCAGAGTCCCTCAGGAAAATGAATTCCAAATGAGTTTTAAATTGAATAAAATTTTATAACAATGCCTCATAAATGAAGTACTAGTATTTACTTATTGTACAAATTATGTACATTGTGTACCTCTGCTATATTCTGCAATCCTTTATCTGTCAGACTGATGCAATCATTCAACTGTAGCTCTTGCAGCTTTGGGCAGCGGTCAAGCTTTTCTAACCCAACATCTATCAACTGAAAATAATCTTAAAATCATTAAAAAATAATAAATAAATGTCCTAATAAATGTAAATTATTTATATCATCCATTATAATATGTTACTAAACTCCATACCTTATAGTTTCGCATTTAACAATATTTTTAAAAAATTAGCAAATCTCAATCAAAATATGTTAAAAAAATGTAAGCAGAAATATATCAGCTTTTGCACCATATTCAATCTTTCCACTAACCTTTGAACAGCCATTTAGGACAAGGCATTTTATCTGATCTCCCATCATGTGGAAACACTGAAATCGGAAAAAGAGGCTGGTGAACTTTCCACAATACAAAATACTAATGCCTTCAGTGTTAGATACTTTCTTAGTGTTAATACCTTTCATTGATTTAATCATACATCCAAGAACTGTACTGAATGATCTAAGCTTAAGTATTTCAGGTTGCCATTTACGGTTGGGTAATTTTTTTTCAAAGTATATTTCTTTCACATACCTGTCCAGTTAGAACTTTATTCCCTTCTAGATCTACAAATGTCAGCTTTTTGCACTGGTGAAATAACCACCAAAGGCTGAAAGAAAGTTATTATTATTATTATTATTATTATTATTATTATCTGTAGGCTACTTAGATGTACCTACGCACACCAATGAACTTTGTATAATTTCTTTTTAAAAATCACACAGTCATTTGCATACTGGACACATAAATGTGCCCTTATAACTCCTGCATGATTACATTCAAGGAATCAAGTTTCTGAATTTCAATCAATATCTGGATTGATCTTTCTTTAAAGAAAGGTTTTCTTTTTCTTTTACCCCTTTTTAATATCACACAATATCATGGTGTAAACAAACTATATTTTTACATGTTACATTGAAACACCCACCCTTTTTCTCCAACACCATGACACTTTTGAAGTTTCACTCGCTGAAATGAAAATGTGCATTAATAAGTTAAATGACAAAAATTTTTGATCTAAAAAAAACAAAATTTACATTTATATAAATGTGATATTGTAGAGATACTGTACAAAGAATACCTTATATGTATCTCATTCTGACAACTGACCTGAAGTTGTAGACACTTCTGACTGAGATTCCTGAGAGAAGCACTAGTACATGGGACACCACTCAAATCTAGATGTGTCAGCCTAGGGCAGTTATCTCCTGGAGAATATAAATTAAGATGTTCTTTGTGAAGACCAAGCACACAATTTAAAAATTAACATGTAAATTGATAGGCAGTTAAAAAGGGAAAATCTACATGTCAAACACTTTATCCTGGAGAACCTCAGTGTCTAATCTAAACATCAAACACTTCAACTGAAACTTACCAATTATGTCTAATGCCCAGTCTGTCATATTGTAAGGAGAGCTGGAGATATCAAGATACCTAAGGTTGGGACAGCCTTTCTTAAGCAGGGTCATTAAGATTTTGTCAGTCAAACCTATCAATAGTTAAAAAGACATTTTTTCAATATATGAAAATATTTATTTGCTTGAGTGAATAATCAAAGGCTAAAGTTCAGTTCTTTTTTCATTTATGTGAATGAAAACACATGTAGTCTATATCATTTGATTGAATTCCCATTTATTTTCAATTATATTCTGGGAAAATCATATAGCGATGAAAAGCAACAGCTAACCTTCTCCAAACCTTTGAAAAACATGCTTGAAGTCTAAAGTAACTAGAGACTGCCAAGTCTTTAAGGCTAAATATCTCCAACGGATGCAAACTGAAATGAACAAGTAAAATAATGTTACTGTTCACAAATCTTCACAGTTTACATACATGACCATAAATTATAACAATTTTGCTACAGAAGCAATCAGAAGATTCAAAGGATTTTTAAATTGAGAATTCATTGTTCTGAGTTTCAGTTTGATTAACATTTTTCACCTCTTTCTATTCTAACCCTATCCCTGAGAGGCAGTTGTGCAAACACAATAAGCAATGTGTCATCATCCAGATCCTGTAATTTTGTGTTTACGTTACTATGTGTACTTTCATCTTGTTCAATACTTTCTTCTCTTTTTTCAACCTAATTAAAAAAATGTAGAATTTTCACTGTTAAATATTTCTTCATAATATATTTATTATATGTATAAACCCAAAATATCATGTATTACTAAACAATCTATTTTAACAAACAAAAAAACAATAACTTAAAGTGTTCCAATGGTTTAAATTAAACAGTCCCCAAATTCGTTCTTGACGTGAATAACTGCAAATAATATGTAAAACAAAGTAAATAGTATTGCAGTATATATTGTACTGTACCTCATGTATGTCTTCTTCACCAGATAACTTGGATTGAATATTGTAAGGTGTATTCCTACTTTCTAGAACCCTCTTCTTCTCATTGGCTCTGAATACTCTTAGCTGTCTGTAAAGAATATAATAGTGATCTATACTTGATTAAAGCACCACTGAAAACTACATAATTATTTCTGACTGTATAACCTTGGGTACATGAATAACTTAAACATTTAGTTTGCATATACTTTACCTAGTATAAAAAATACTGACATACCCGGTACAATTGAAATCTATGAGTTGAGGAAATTAAGATAGGTCAATAAGTTCTTACCGGCCGTCATAAAACAGCTGCTCTTCAGTTGCTCTTACAGCTTTTTCAACAGCATCTTGGGAACTAAATTTTATGAAAGCTGATCTGGAAAAAATAAAATGCACCTTATTTTAAATTAATAATTTCTTCTGCATTACAGAACATTTAATACAGGTGCACAGGGGCGGATCCAGAGAGATTTTCTGACAGTCTTCCAAATTATCTTTGTTGATCCATCCTCTATTTTGACCGTCTTCCGACAGAAAACCCATCAATGTAAACTTGAAAATCTGACCGTCTTCTGGAAGACCCAGAAGACGGCCTAAATCTGCCCCTGGGTGCGTGATATGTATTTACCTGGGTTATTTTGTTAACATGTAACAGTAAAAATGTTACCTACATACCCTTTTCTCCTACGAGACTTGTGATCTGTGATGAAGTGGATATTTTCTACTTTTCCAAATTTGCTGAAAAACTGGATTACTTGCTTCTTTGTTACCTAACAGTAGAGAATAAATCATAAAACAAACAAAAAATGCAGATATTTAGCACTCACCGATGATAAATATGCACATAAATTCACCTTGCAACACGTACATGTATATTTTAATTTAATAAGTATGAAGTGCAGAAACCATAAGTTTTTATTATCTTCTCAAAGAAATTATCTGAGGGACAAAATTCTGTTTGCTGTCAACAAGACCTCATACTACTGTAGTGGACACATACTCTGTAGCTCAGATTCCCCACAAATATTTTGTAGGGTACAATAACTGGAGTTTTTTCTTCAGTTTGACCTGTGGCACAATGGTCTCCTGAGTTAATATGTCCATTGTGAACAGCTGACCTGCTCCAACCAGATATTTCTTCTGTGAACTCTTTTAATTTCTTATGTTCTTCATTTCTGCTCCAACCACAGGCTTTGCTGATCGTTTCTAAGTTCAACTTAAACCCTGGAATGGAGGCAGCCTCTTCAAATTCTGCATCCCAATCTTCCTCGGGGCTTGCTTGGACATTGCTCATTTTAATAATCTCTCTCACTTATCAACCTGATCAAAGCTTGATTATATCTCGCCATGCCATATATTATACCACATCTAAAAATACAGAAAGATACAAGAACAAATGTTGTTTAAGAGGCACAGTACGTACGTACAGACTACTTACATGTATTATGTACATGTGCAAAAGTTAAGAGGAAAATCTGAGGCAAGTACAAATGTAAATGGCGTTATTACAGGTACAGTAAGTGCACTGTGCAGCTGTTGTTACGAACTACCGACCGATTTAAGAACTCCATTAAAATCGCTACAGATAATATTATTGACAGACAACGTCCACCGAATTATTTAAAATGGGGTCATGTCAGTGTGACATGCGTGTACTCTGACACCAGCTCACCTGTGTCTTCTCGTTTTGTTACCGTTCACAAGGTGGCAGTTCTGCACAAGAAAGGCTTCAACCCTTTGATCACTGCCTTTTCAATGGACTTACATGTACTCAGTTTCAATAGGGGAACGTTTTTAGACAACAGAAGTTCAGAGTGACCCCGAGACGCAAACCTTCAAGATACGAACAAAGAACAGGTACTGTAACTCGCCTCACCTGTCTCCTCATCAGCACGCTCGAACACAGCCAGTCCGCATGCTCTGGCTCTGCTGAGTCATTTTTTGTAAGGTAAGCATCACTGATTCACAAGGAATAATTTGTGTAGCCTGTAGCATCGTGCTAGACGCAAATCATTTTTGATTTCTAACATGCACAGCACAGTCGTTTTCCCTCACCCGAATTTAGGAAGGAGGGAACCATAGTGCAGGCGTTTTTAGAGCGTACAGCATTAAGATAATTTCCTGGGGTTCATTGAAAATAATCCCACTTACCACAGACTTTTTTGTTTCATTTCCAAAATAAATAGATAAGTATTTTAATAAATAAAGAAAGAAAGAAAGAATTAAATAAAATTGGTACAAAACATCTGATTCCCTCAAAGTCAGGGTAGGTCGCGCTTGTTGGACAACTTTCCAAATTTTACGGCCTGAAGACAGTACTCATTTAACTTTGCGAGGAGTATCGGTGTGGGGAAGTAACGGTGCGCGTATAACACTGATTTTACAGAATATGTAATGATGGGGGAGGGGGGGGGTCCTGCCGGTGTGGCGTACGATGCAGAAAATATGAAGTTTTCTAGTGGGATTAACGGTGCGGGACGTATAAAGATGAGTCCTCTCCGGACACTCTGTAGGCTAGCACGAAAATCCATCCGTTAGCACTCCTATTGGCGGTTCTGATATACATGTATGTTAGCTGTTAGCACAGCCAGCATATATCAAAACCGTCAAAAGCAGTGATAACGCATATATTTTCGTGCTATAATAGGCCTACATTGACCTTCATCCTCTTGATTTGACATAAACCTAATCATGTACACCTGTAATTCATCAGGGAATCGAAATTAAGACAGATGATCAAAATTGGATAATCCTACTGTAAATTTGTGATTTGTGTTGATTTTACCCCGTAAAGGTGTCGTCTAAACCTGTAGAAAGGGCCCCTCGCCACGAGAAACACACTGCATCTCTCTACGCACACAAGAGATTCAATCATTGAGTCTGAATTTTCATGCGTCACCTTTTGATTGAAAAATCGCTTTGATGGCATAAAGCTGAGGTATCTTTCAAGATAAAATAAATAATTGCAAATTCTTCGATTGCAAGAGGACTTGCATGTTGTGTTTCTAATTTGAAAGACACAAAATTGGTTGCGTTATTTCACAAAGAATTTATTTTAAAAATTGAGAGATAGAGATTTCTGTGTAATACATTCCATTCCGTATTGAAAAGGCTAGAAACTAAAATACACACACTGGACAATATAAGTGTCACCCCTACTGAACCAATACTATGGGGGAGATAAATGACTGTGGAATGATATGCTCCTGGTATCATTTTATTAACATCAAATTTTTAAAAAAATGAGAACAAGATATACATTCTACATAAATATGCAGTTTCAAGTCCAAAATTAGTACTTGCTGGCATTGCCACGTGACCTAATAATAGGTGCCAGTCTACGAGGCAAGGATTCATATAATTGTCTGATGTGTTCAGAGCTTATGCTGGCCCAAGCATGAAACACTGAATATAACAGAGTTTCTCTGCTGGTTAGACGGGCATTTGTCAAAAGTTTTGACATATCATTCCACACATTTTCAATTATGTTTGCATCCGGACTCTGGGAAGGCCACATCACCCTGCGAATGTCCTGTTGGTCAAACCAATCTTCAACTGCTCTGGGCCTGTGACAAGGAGCATTGTCATCCTGGTGAACAAATGCATAATTCCTGTCATCAAACATGTTAGTAATAGATGGTAGCAAGCCTGACTCAAAAACAAATATATATTTCTAGTGATTCATGTTTCCATCAACCACTGTCAATTCGCCCACGCCATGGATGCTGATGCAGCCCCACACCATGATGAATATGCTGCTCCGGGTTCGAAAATTCAGTGCATGTGGTTCAAATGCTTTACCAGCAGTTCGCCAGCATCGTACCCGTCTGTCATCAGAGGTCAGACCAAAGCGACACTCATCAAAAAATATATATAGGACCAATATTGTCATGGACTGTCCAGTTCCAGATCTTGTTGACCCTAGTTCACTCTACGTTGCCTGTTTTGTAACAATATAAGAGGTTTCAGTCTTGCTACCCTGCTGTACACTCGCTGAGCACGTAACCGACGCCTAGCAATTTTCACAGACACATTCTTATGTGTGAAATTGTTCCACTGTGTTGTCAAGCAATGAATGTCGAACTTTGACAACCTGGACATCAAAATCAGTCGTCGGTCTTAACGGCCAGTAGGTTTTTCTTGGACGACCCATCTGAGGCAATTTGTCTTTTGATCGAGTGTTTCTATACCGAGACCAGACCCTCTGCACGGTTCTGACTGAACAATTCAATTGTATCGATATTCTGACATTGCTTATATTCCGCCTCTTCAGGTTAATAACTTTAAGCCTATAACCGTTAGAAAATTGCCGGTATCTTGCCATATTGGAGGAAGACAGGAATAACATTTACTGTACATGTACAAGACCAACAATACAATTCCATGGTATAGCGGTTTTATACTCATTAGTCACATTAAAAGTAGACCAGGCATTATAACTACCCAAGATCTGCCTACATTTATTACTCTGATTTAGGGGGTGACACTTCTATTGTCCAGTGTGTGTAGTATATATATATATATGATAAAAAGAAAAAAAGAACAGCAGCTATTTTGCCCCAACCGGTTTCATTGCATCTTCGGGGGTTTTGATAGATAAGCCTGAAGATGCAATGAAACAGGTCGGGGCAAAATAGCTGCTATTCTTTTTTTATATACTCGTACAGGAAAAACACTTTTACTCTCAATATATATATATATATATATATATATATATATATATATATATATATTGTCATAATTCTACCACATATCTTGTGCAGTAGGCTATGTTAGTCTACAACTATACATTTAACTTCTATTTATTATTTCAATAAATTATGAAATGATAAACGAAATTAAATGTATAAAAGAACAAAGATCCGAAAATGTAAAAAATGAATAAATAATAAAAAAATTACCAAGAGTACACTACTTAAAATGCAATTAAAAACAATTGACCGCTACATATTACAATGCTTTTAATTAATTCTACATATTTGCTTGTGGGTTTTAATGCCTGACAAATGCCCGATTTCATTCTGAGGCACATAAACAAACTAAGTGCCAAATCGTATCCATTACGTACCCTGTACTAGGGCCGTATATTTATTATGTGCTCTTTCCTCTGACGCAAAGTCCCGTCATTTTACAAGAGACATATCTGTCATTATCTAGTGAAAAATAAATCTGTGACCCTGGTTAAGCGTATAGGAGAATTTCAAAAACGCAAAATTGTTTGCAGAGACATTCAAGAAACAAAACATATAACACACGGTCTCTAGAAACCTCCTCCTCCGCCACCGCCTCCGCCACCGCCACCGCCACCACCACCACCTCCACCGCCACCACCACCACCACCGCCACCACCGCCGCCACCACCACCACCGCCACCACCGCCGCCACCGCCACCTCCCCAGTGATGATGATGGCTTCCTCCCGAGCCTCCACCACCGCCGAATCCACCACAGTAGCCGGCTCGGAGGATACAGTAGATGGCGGCCACACAAATGCCGGTGAACGCTAAGACTCCGATAATAATCCCTGCTATCATTCCCCCGCCCCCAGTAGAGCTGCAGCTAAAGCGACCTAAAAAGACGTCCCTGAAACGAAAGTGGTATAAGGTAAGGGGGCAATTTTGGTGTCATAAGTCTTATCATAATCATGACTTAAATATATATATATATATATATATATATATATACAATATATAAAACATTACACATGATAAATAGCACTAGCGACGACAAACAGAATCTCTCGCGGGAGCAAGAAATTGAATCTTTTTAACAGGAATAAGCATCGAAACTCATCCTTGGATATTTCCGCCACAGATACACGTTACGTTAACCCGCCATAGAGAGAATTTCTTGTAGGATTTGAGATGTGCGTTATCTTATTTACCAGAAAGATTGTCACCAACTCGTAAACCGGAATTCAGATTACGCTGAACTAAAATATTTCAACCATTATTCTTTGTAACATGTTACCTTTCAATTTATTAAACTGGGAAGAAACATGCATATTTTTTAAAATTTCATTTCATTTTTTTAAATCGCCAATATTTTGGGAAAGACGGGAAATCAGCAAAAGGGAGAAAAATTAAACGTGTTAAACGTATTAACTGTAAGCAAAGTTACATTTCTGTTCAGAACATAAAAAAAAATTCACAACCCAAATCAAACTCACCGATAAGAAGAAACCATGGCTTGGAGTCCAGAAGCCCACCGACCATCACTTAAATAGGATTTCACTTCTTGCGTCACCTTGTTGATACAGTTATTGGTCAGTTTGAGACGTGATTTTGATCCAGTGGAAGTCCATATCTGAAACATTTATTTTAATATTTGGCACACCTGGATAATTACTACATGACATCAGCATTTGGTTCCTAATATTTTGGGAATTGAACGATGGAAATACATAGGGTTTTATGAATCAATTTAATCATGCCACTTTAAAATAATTATAAAATGTATTTACTTTTCTGTCTTGGGTAGACAGTACTATAACTACGCTGTCTTGGCAGTAGCCATAACCCCAGGAGGTGATACGTAGGTAATCGGCGAACTTTTCAATGGCAATTAGTTTCTCATTTGACGTGTCAGGAACTCTGGAAATGTAGGCACTTCATTTAATCAGTCGCCAATTTAAAAAGTTTGGTAAGACCGTAGGGATTATGCATGTTAAGCTCGATGCCCAACATTTACAAATAATTAAGTAGATGTATATATTGGACGTATATATAGGGGATAATAACTCTTCGTATGAGGTCTATATTTCACAATAAAACATTGTGAATAACTCATAGAAATATAATATGTTCTGTTTTACGACTAAAACAGCAGTTATAGCTATTATTCTGATATCTGAGCTTGTCTTCAGACCACGTGACCTCCATTGATGGCTATACTCTGTTGTAATCTCTTAAGAGATTTTTAACAAAAAAAAACAAACTTTTTAGAAAAAATCCAGGGACTAACTTTGAATGTAAAAATGGATTCATTAACCATTGGTAAGTATGGGAAAATTGTTGTTTACTCCAGGGAAATTAATTTTTTGGCCAAAACGAAAAGTTATTATCCCTTTAGGCAGATTGATACAGGTCTTGTCATAATTCACAGCCCAGTCAAGATAATAGGCTTGATGCAGGCCTATAGAACTATTTCATTTTACATAAAAACGATGACGACAATCGTTAATCAAGACAATTACAATTAACTTAGGTGCAGAAATTAAGTCTATATAAATGCCCAAACGCGACGTATACACGTACAAAATTAAACAAAGGAATGAAAATGAATAAAAAATATTATCGACGCTTGAAAGTAATGAGATACATACCCTGCCGGTAGAGCGAGTTTCGGAACTACAGCTATAGCAACTTGGTATCCGCTTCGATCTGCCGGGCAGTAACCACACGCGCACGGTGAGTCATTACGAATACGATCCAGCTGAACATCAAGCTGGTCACCTGAAATTTAATTTTTAGACATCGAATAATATATAAACGTGCCTCAAATGCAAAAAAGAGTTACACTGCATGACTCCTTTTATCTTCAAGGACGTCACCGCCCCTAGACCCACTCTTTCCTTTTTTCTTTGCTATGTAATCTCTATGGGCCAAAAAATTATCTGTGCGGTGGGGCTATCACACACACACACACACACACACATTCACATGCACGCCAGCACGCACGCACGTATACACTTAATTGCTAGATGGCTTATCTCTGTACTGTGTGTCACCTCAGCAAAAATGTCTACAGAACTTCCGCCCTGGTAGAGGGTACTTTATTGCTACCTAACCAGTTTAAGGGGTGCATTATAAGTTTATTCGTAGCGGGATCAAATACTTAGGTTTAGGTGTACTGAGTAGTCAGGGGGCTGAGTCGGATGTACTGGTACCTGTACTTGTACAGGTGATACACTTGTATATGCGTATAGCGTAGGTAGACCTATAATTATACTGACAGTCAGTGAAAACGCATCAGAAAACTTCCTTTTTTTTACCGAGAATCGATTCCAACCATTTAAGCGAGTACAAATGTTTGTTCATAAGAGAGTGGGCTGACCACTCGGATGTTTAAAATTTCCGCTTCAGTGATTTTGTGACCAGCTGTTACAAAATCATGTGTTTTTCCTGTCTCGTGATTGGTGTGAATTAATCAGGTTCAATATATAGTGATGAATTAAGCCTATTTAAGGTAGTCACCAAATCCAGTGTGGCAGATGACAAAAAAGTTCAGTGATGCCGAGTCTGACACTGAAAGAGTGACTGCGGGCCCTGGGGATGCTGGAGGATGGGCGGAACGAAAGAGATTTGATTTCTGACCTTTATTTCACCTTGTGTAACTGAATAATGGGTCATATTTCACACGTAAACTGTTATTTTCTTAATGTGCCAGAGGACCAAAAATATTATTTGATAAATAAATGATGCGTTTTCATTGACTGTCAGTATATATGCTTGGTTCACACAGCTGTACATACATTGTAGGAAGATGACTTGTACAACAATTAATATGCACACTCGATCGTTATTATCTTAGAGGTGGTAAGTCTGCCTAAATCTCATCTTAGCCAACGAGTATACTTTTTTACCAGTACTCTCCATTATCGCAGGGTCGAGGTCTAAAAATGTGCTCAATATGGCTTTTGATTACTTGAATCTGACAGTGATTATCATGCTAAATAAAATATTTTGGGCGGATATGTAAGGCCTGTCTTTACATGGCAACACAACACCGCAAATATTACAGACTAACGGGACAATTCCTTTATCTAAGAAAAAAAATGAGGCTAACGTAACATTGCCATTGTGCAACAGGTTAATGCGGTTGAATTCATCCTAGGTGGTGCCATATGACGTCACACTCTGCCGGTAAATTAACTCAAATCTTACTTTCAACTAACCAATATTCAATATCCATGCAAATTAGACAGTTAAAATGCAAAAATTCGCTTGGGAACCGGGTTAACCGGATTCAGCATGTTAAAATTATGCTAATAAGCCTGGTTCCAAACTTTTACCCCAAAATGTCCCTTACTTCTTATGCAGAGCCTTTTTTCAAAAATCACACTAGATTAAAACGAACTCTTAGCAAATTAGCCGCCAAATTATGAAAGGGAACACCTTCCGGACCTTCATACGCACGGTACCTGAAAAAGCTGATAGACAAAAAGGCAATTTTCAAATTTTCAGCGAGAGATCGTTCGCAATCCGAGCGAGGCGAGGAGGCAATTTTCATATTTGTTAAAGAGACTTCGTTGACGAGACGAGAACGCAATTTTCGTATCCTCAGCGGGAGATCGTTTGCAATCTTATATTCGTTCAATGCCTTTCGTTTGCGGAAGACCGTCAGCCGGCGATCGTTCTCGGTCTAAGCGAGACGAGAAGGCAATTTTCATTTCGCAAAACTCAACATACTCGTACCTTCGTAGATCTTCAGTATGTTATTCGGATCACAGACCCACGATCTCACCCCATTTCTTCCACACTTGTAGACATCATATCTTGGATTAGGGAATTCTTCTTTGGTCCATGCCTGTGGAGGATTAAAAGTTGTCGGAGACTGGGCCTCAGCACAATTCACTGCACATATACACAGACAAATGAACTTTACTGTGTACATCTCTGTTGACTTTTTACTTAAGAGTGATCGTTTCACTACATTCACTTATTCGCTTCCGCAGGCCACACCTTCACTTGTTGTTGTTAACACGACTCACAGGCTTCACATCGTAATCCCGGACCCGGTGTGGCGTGAATCGTTCGGAGCGTGAACCATCCGTTCTGCTCATGCGCACAAAGCGCAGGCAAATCTGAGAGACTTCCGGCGTGTACGGTCCGTCTCTATCGACTTTAATAAACATACACTGTTGAGAACATACTACATATTCAAACATAATCTTTAGTAATATTCATATCTAAGACCGCATTCACAACGAGTTGAGCCATGGCTCTACAAATCCGCTAACTAAATATGGCGGACGTACATGAACGAAAACCGCCTAATCTTTTAATAGTCTCTCCGCCTCTCACACGCCTCCCCACGCCTCCGCCACTCACACGCCTCCCTGTGGGGGTACAGTCATTAAATCTCGGCTCCGTTCGCCATGCGGGGCTGGGTATCTCCGTGAATATCTCCCTGAATATCTCTGGTGACATTATCTCCGTAGATTTTCGATTCATTGCTGCTCTACTGGCCACTTAATTCCTTTTTCGTCTCTGTTTTGAAAGATAATAGAACAGAAGGGTTTTTTTCCTTCGACCGCCTCCAGCCGCCATGCTTTCTTCACCTCGAATTTAATTGATGAGCGTGCGCGCTTAATATTTCTCAGGTAGCTTCCGCATGGCGAATGGAGCCGAGATTTAATGACTGTACCCCCGCCGGGGACGACGCGTGGGGAGGCGTGTGAGAGGCGGAGAGACTATTAAAAGATTAGGTGGTTTTTCTTTCATGTACGTCCGCCATATTTAGTTCGCGGATTTGTAGAGCCATGGCTCAACTGGTTCTGAATGCGGTCTAAGTAAAGTGGAGTAGGACTCACAATATACCAGCTACTTGCTGTAAAGGGTGAGGAGAGACAGACAAAGCACGTAACTCGTTTGGAATTTTACAACACATATTTTCAGGTTAAGTGACAAATAACATATAAAATTAACCTTCTTAAATTTGAATTGAAAAATATCTTGGATATTTCAGTTGTTATCGCTGAGTCATCCGGGTCATATAACTATACAGTCCCTATATATATACTGCATACACAACCTCTGAAAAAATTATTTATGTACCCGTTTTTGAGTTCTAAATATATGATTTTCATATAATCACCGCAACTTAATTGTTATTGCCAGTGGGAGTGTGACTCAAAAATTAGAAATCTAAAGGGTCATTTAGCATCGCGCGGTACTCTTTACTGGTAACTTTGGTAATGTACATATAGTATGTTATATTTGTGAAGATGGACTGCGCCACTCGACGTAAAAAGGTACATGTATCAGGACTTTAAAATGTTTATCAATCTCAATCCTGGGAGCGGGTTTGAACATAGAATACCTTATTGACTGGGAGGAATGTTGAAAGATTGAGTTTTGCTATATAAAAGTCCAATTAATCGGATAAATTGAGTGCCTTTTTACTAATAAAAAGTGAGAAAAGTATGATCTTTAAACTTTTTAAAGGAAATCACCATACACCCCAAACACGCCACAAAGTTTGTGTCAGACAGCCCCTAGTTAAATAAACATACGGTTCTGGGTGAAATAATAAACTGTTACTTTATAAAATCGCGGGAATATGTTTAACTTTAGGTGATGTTTTATTACTAGTGAAAACTAAGCGATGATAATTGGCACATAAAGATTAAACTACCCTTCATCTAGCTGTTGCCTCAGTCTACATTGAACTGTACCTGAGAATTCTGAGGATCTGTGCGTACAATTTTAAAAAGGTCTGGTTACGCCCTTGTGATGAACCAATCAAGGTGACAGTTACCTCTCTCTCTCATATTTAAAAAAAAAAAATTCATTTAGCATTTGCACACGTTTCGCTTGGGATAACAAATACGGAAAATGCCCATTGTGCAGTGAAATGGTAACTTTTTGCTCGCCTTCAGTTCAGTATTGCTTTTGGATGTGCCGGTGTTTTTGTGTAATTGTGTTATGACGTCAATGATATTTGAGAATCCAAGGATAGACCTGTGACAACGGTGCGCGTATAACAGTGATTTTCGTGCTATCTGTAGGCCTACATCCTCTTGTTTTAACATAAACCTAATCTTGTACACCTGTAATTTATCAGGGAATCGAAATTAAGACAGGTTATCAAAATTGGATAATCCGATTTTGAGAAATTTGTGATTTGTGAAGATTTTTTTTACCCCGTTAAGGTGTCGTCTAGACCTATAGAAAGGGCTCCTCGCCACGAGAAACACACTGCATCTGTCTACGCGCACAAGAAATTCAATCATTGAGTCTAAATTTTCATGCCACACCTTTTAATTAAAAATCGCTTAGATAGCATAAAGTTGAGGTATCTTTCAAGAGAAAATAAATAATTGCAAATTGTTCGATTACAAGAGGACTTGCATGTTGTGTTTCTAATTTGAAAGGCACAAAATTGGTTGAGTTATTTCACAAAGAATTTATTTTAAAAATTGAGGGAAAGAGATGCTTCTGTGTAATACTTCTTTGAGGTAAAGAAATGCTTCTGTGTAATACATTCCATTCCGAGAGAGAGAGAGAGAGAGAGATCTTTATTTTGTCATCAATTCTATCACAGATCTTGTGCAGTAGGCTATGTTAGTCTACAACTATACATTTAACTTCTGTATTAAAGAAAAAAGATCCGAAAATGTAAAAAATAAATAAATAAATAAATAATAAAAAATAACCAAGGCACTACTTAAAATGTCATTAAAACAATTGACCGCTACATATTACAATGCTTTTAATTAATTCTACATATTTGGATGAGGATTTTAAGGGCTGAAAAATGCCTGATTTCATTCTGAGGCACATTAACAAAATAAGTGCCAAATCGTATCTATTACGTACCCTGTACTAGGGCCGCATATTTTATTATGTGCTCTTTTCTCTGACGCAAAGTCCCGTCATTTTACAAGAGACATATCTGTCATTATCCAGTGAAAAATAAATATTTGACCCTAGTAAAGGGTAAAGGAGAATTTCAAAAATGCAAAATTGTTTGCAAAGACATTCAAGAAACAAAACATATAACACACGGTCTCTAGAAATCTCCCCCTCCGCCACCACCTCCGTCTCCGCCAGAATACCCGCCACCGCCACCACCACCACCACCACCACCGCCACCTCCCCAGCTGGAGCCGCCGTGGTGGTGATGATGGTAATGACTTCCTCCCCAGCCTCCACCACCGCCGAATCCACCACAACAGGCGCCTCGGACGAAACAGAAGATGGCGACAAAACAAATGCCGAAGAACACTATGACTCCAATGATTATCCCTGCTATCATCCCCCCGCTCTCCTCGCCAGTAGAATCGCAGCTGAAGCGACCTAAGAAGACGTCCCTGAAACGAAAGTGGTATAAGGTAAGGGGGCAATTTTGGTGTCAAATGTCATAATCATGAGTTATATATATATATATATATATATATATATATATATATATATATATATATAAAACATTACACATGATAAACAGCACTAGTAGTCTTGCCATATATATAACCATATACACGACCACAAACAGAAGCTCTCGGGATCAAGAAATTTAATCTTTTTAACAGGAATAAGCATCGAAACTCATCCTTGGATATTTTCCGCCACAGATACACCTCCTTAAACCAAGACACGTTACATTAAAGGGATAATAATGATAACTCTTCGTATGAGATCTATATTTCACAATAAAAACATTGTGAATAACTCATAGAAATATATCCCGTTTTACCACAAGAACGGCAGTTATAGCTATTATTTTGATATCTGAGCTTGTCTTCAGACCACGTGACCTCCATTGACGGCTATACTCTGTTGTAATCTCTTAAGGGATTTTACCTTTCAATTTATTAAACTGGGAAGAAACATGCATATTTTTCATTTCATTTCATTTTTTTAAATCGCCAACATTTTGGGAAAGACGGGAAATCAGCAAAAGGGAGAAAAAATTAAACGCGTTAAACGTATGCACAGTTACATTTCTGTTCAGAAAATGGAAAAAATTCCACAACCCAAATCAAACTCACCGATAAGAAGAAACCATGGCGTTCAGTCCAGAAGCCCACCGACCATCGCTGAAGTACGATTTCACTTCTTGCGTCACCTTGTTGATACAGTTATTGGTCAGTTTGAGACGTGCTTTTGGTCCAGTAGAAGTCCATATCTGAAACATTTATTTTAATATTTAGCACACCTGGATAATTGCTACAATCAATTGGTGATCAGCATTTGGTTTCTAATATTTTGGGAATTGAACTACAGAAATACATAGGGTTTTATGAATCAATTTAATCATGCCATTTCAAAATAATAATAAAATGTATTTACTTTTCTGTGTTGGGTAGACAGTACTATAACTACGCTGTCTTGGCAGTAGCCATAACCCCAGGAGGTGATACGTAGATAATCGGCGAACTTTTCAATGGCAATCTGTATCTCATTTGACGTGTCAGGAACTCTGAAATATTTTACATAAAAACGACGACAATCGTTAATCAAGACAATTAGAATTAACTTAGGCGCATAATTTAAGTCCATTTAATTGACCAAACGCGACGTATACCCGTACAAAACTTAAGTAAAGGAATGAAAATGAATAAAATATTATCGATGCTTGAAACTAATGAGATACATACCCAGCCGGTAGAGCGAGTTTCGGAACTACAGCTATAGCAACTTGGTATCCACTTCGATCTGTCGGGCAGTAACCACACGGGCACGGTGTGTCAATACGAATACGATCCAGCTTAACATCAAGCTGGTCACCTGAAATTTAATTTTTAGACTTGGAATAATATATGTGCATCAAATGCAAAAAAAAAAAAAAAAAAAAAAACACTAACACTGCTGGACTCCTTTTATTTTCAAGGATGTCACCGCCCCTAGACCCAGTCTTTCCTTTCTCCTTTGTTATGTTATCTCTATGGGCAAAAATCATCTGTGTGGTGGGGCTATCACACACACATTCACAATGCGCGCCAGCACGCACGCACGCACACACTAAATGGATTATCTCTGTACTGTGTGTCGCCTCAGCAAAAAGGTCTACAGAATAATTACTGCCGCCTTAGTAGAGGGAACTTAATTGTTACCTAACCAGTTAAAGGGGTGCATTATAAAGTTATTCGTAGCGGGATCAAATACTTAGGTTCAGGTGTAGTCAGGGAGCTGAGTCGGGTGTACTGGTACAGGGGATACACTTGTATATGCTTATCCATATGTACAGCGCAGGTAGACCTATAATTATATGCTTGGTTCACACAGCTGTACATAGGAAGATGACTTGTACAGCAATTAATAAGCACACTCGCTCGTTATTATCTTAGAGGTGGTAGGTCTGCCTAAATCTCATCTTAGCCAACGCGTATACTTTTTTAACAGTACTCGCCATTATCGCAGATAGGGTCGAGGTCTAAAATTGTGCTCAATGATTACCTGAATATGCCAGTGATTATCATGCTAAATAAAATATTTTGGGCGGATATGTAAGGCCTGTCTTTACATGCAACACAACACCGCAAAAATTACAGACTAACGGGATAATTCCTTTATTTTAGAAAAAAATGAGGCTAACGTAACAATGCCTTTGTGCAACAGGTTAACAGCTGTAATGCGGTTGAATTCATCCTGGTGCCATATGACGTCACACTCTGCTGGTAAATCTTACTTTTAAAGTGATAATAACTCTTCGTTTCGGCCAAAAAATGAATTTTCCTGGAGTAAACAACAACCGATATTCAATATTTAGCTACAACTCGTTGATCCTTGATCGAATTTATATGGAAGGCTGACTTACTGAAACCCATATTTCTCAAAATTTAACAATATCTTGCGCTTTGGGCAACGAGACGACATGTAAACAAAACTCAACATAGGCCTACTCGTACCTTCGTAGATCTTCAGTATGTTATTCGGATCACAGACCCACGATCTCACCCCATTTCTTCCACACTTGTAGACATCAAATCTTGGATTAGGGAATTCTTCTTTGGTCCATGCCTGTGGAGGATTAAAAGTTGTCGATGGAGACACGGGTGAGAACGGCCTTGTAGTTGTACTACTTCTGGTCGTGGTACTGGTTGTAGAAGTACTGCTGGAAGTGGAGGACTGGGCCTCAGCACAATACACTGCACATATACACAGACATATTAACTTTACTGCGTACATCTCTGTTGACTTTTTACTTAAGAGTGATCGTTGAACGCTACATTCGCTTCCTCATGCCGCACCTTGTTGTTAACACGACTCAGAGGCTTCTCGTCGTAATCCCGGACCCGGAAACAATAATACCCCGTGACACGACTTCCGGTCATTTGTGTCCAGTTTTAGTATGGGGTAGGTGGGGAAGTTTGGCATGGAGTACAGAGTCCCAATATACCAGCTACATGCTGTCAAGGGTGAGGAGAGACAGACAGAGCACGTAACTCGTTTGGAATTTCCCAACATATATTTTCAGGCTTAGTGACAAATAACATTTAATAAAATTTCATAAACAACAAATAAATTTGAATTGAAAAATATTTTGGATATTTCAGTAGTTATCGCTGAGATATCCGAGTTAGTCCCTATATCTCTATAAAGTTCCTATATATACTGCAGTATAGTACCAAAGTGTACAGTAGGCCTATACATAACCTCTGAAAAAAATAATTATTAATGTTCCAGTTTTCGAGTTCTAAATATATAATTTTCTTATATTCACCGCCTCATTGCCAGTGGGAGGGTGACTCACGGTCAAAAATTAGAAATCTAAAGTGCCTTTTCGCATCGAGCGGTACTCTTTACTGGACCAGTCCACTTTGCACGTCCTGACAAGCAATTGATAACGCTACACGGAGGAAGGGGGGGGGGGGGATTACTCCCTTTCATCAGTGTTCCACAGGTTTAAAAGTTAATTTGCTGGCCCGTGGAGTCGAGTGACTGGAACTTTGGTAATGTACATATAGTATATTACTTTTGTGAAGGTGGACTGCGCCGCTCGACGTAAAAAGTTATCATGACTTAAAAAATGATTATCAATCTTAAATCTGAACATAAGATACCTTATTGATTGGGAGGAATGTTGAAAGATTGAGTTTTGCTATATAAAGGTACAATTAATCGGATTAATTGAGTGCCTTTTTACTAATAAAAAAAAGTAAAAAAAAGTATTATCTTTAAACTTATTTAATAAAATCACCATACAGGCCACAAAATACCTTTTTTGCATTATTGTAGAATAGAACGGAATCCTAAAGTCGTTTTCTGTTTGGTTCATTAATCGCGGTGATGAACCAATCAACGTGACAGTTACCCCTCTCTCTCTCTCTCTCTCTCTCTCACACACACACACACACACAGGGGCGGATTTAGGCCGTCTTCTGGGTCTTCCGGAAGACAGTCAGATTTTCAAGTTTACATTGACGGGTATCTAATTTTTTCTGTCGGAATACAGTCAAAAAATGGAGGATGGATCAACAAAGATAATGTGGAAGACTGTCAGAAAATATCTCTGGATCCGCCCCTGACACACACACACACACACACACACACACACACACACACACACACACACACACATAGCCAGCCAGGCAGGCTAGGTCACATTTTCAAGAGTTTATAGGCAACATTTTATGTACCGTGTAATAACGTACTATAGCATCTTTGTTACAACCTACAGAAACATACCTATGATAAAGGCCCTATCGGTACTACCGTACATAGTTTACTTGTGTTGGACTTCTAGGCCACGAAAATCGAACTAAGCGGTTCTTAACTCGGGATCACTCTGTAGGCCTACGTACATACGTGCCCTTGTTTTAAACAAGAGGGACTATCACCGTGGTATCGAAAATAAGACAATTTATTTAAAAGATACTTGCAAATCCCCCATACTATCGAGTATCTGTAAAGTGTAACAGTGAAAGATAACGATGCCGTTTATAGCAAGGGTGCCTCGCCATAATATACACGCAGCCTGGCAACGCGCACAAAAATTTCAAAGCTTCATTTAAAGCGGGTCTTATCGTTTAGGGCGGGTTATACAGTTCCGTACAAAAAAGCGTTTCTTTTTTCGACTCGATTTATCTCCATTTGTGTGCTGCAAGGGGTATTCATCCCGTAAGGGGGATAGGGTGTCGGCTTCGCATCTACGGACACCTACCCCCTTCAAGTAATCCTGGATCCGCCCCTGCATTATATTCCCATAGGGCTTACTATTAGAGTTTTTATCACTTAAGCTACTGAAAATTGCAATGACAACTCGTTTTTAATTATAAGTTTACATGGGTGTAGTATTGTGGCAATTTTAGATTGGATTAAAGACACCCCTGCCTAAATGTACTTTTAAAATAGCATTTTATTAAGTTGTTATAAATTCGTTTATATATTATGCTACGTACAAATGCAAATCAAACCTATGATATATAAATAAAAAAGTCAAATAGATCCATAAAAATGATAAATATAATATATAAAATTGCAATGTAAAACAATATAAGATTATTAACCTCCAACTGCTTATATCCCATTTAATTGGGATATTTAATTTTATTTCACACTTCGTGTCTATCAAAATCTTTGTTGAGTTGCCTTAAGTCGTCATAGTCGATGTTCATTTTGAAAATATAAAGGGATAATAACTCTTCGTATGAGATCTATATTTCACAATAAAAACATTGTGAATAACTCATAGAAATATAATATATTCTGTTTTACCACAAAAACGGCAGTTATAGCTATGATTCTGATATATGAGCTTGTCTTTAGACCATGTGACTTCCATTTTTTAACAAAAAACCAAACTTTTTAGAAAAAAAAAGACAGGGACTAACTTTGAATGTAAAAATGGATTCATTAACCATTGGTAAGTATGGAAAATTGTTGTTTACTCCAGGAAAATTCATTTTTTGGCCGAAACGAAGAGTTATTATCCCTTAAACATAATTCCTACCTACGACATGTGAAAAATATCTAAAAATGAAACTGAGCAATACAATGGCAATCTTGGATAAGAACTCACGCAGGTTTGGTTTCTAGTGAAAAAATTCTATGGGCCAAAGACAATTTTCTTGCACTTACCCTATCACAGTGAAGAGTTTCAAACTCTGACATTCATGTATTGAATCGCATTTTTCTAGCTGAAGTCAAGTAACCGGTTTTTGCACATTTTGTATTTTGCTTAAAATACGTGCAAGTTGAACAGGGGCAGTAATTTGCTAAGGTCAAATACGTGAAAAGGTCCTGAATGTAACATGTTTTTTAATTGTGAGCACGTTATTCAAAAGGAAAAATTAAAAAAATCAGATAAATAAAAATTTTAAAAAGATCTTTTAAAGAATAAAATTGATAGGATCTGTGCTAAAATATGAAGAACATAATGAGGGTCTAATGGATAAAAATAGATTAAATTAAATTAAATTAAATTAAATTAAATTAAATTAAATTAAATTAAGGATTTTTCCAGTGGCAACGGATTGAGGTAACAAGACAGACTGCATGGTTCATGGTTTTCCTGCGGGATGACCGTGTTCGTAACATCCGCCGCAGCAGCATGGGAACACACAACACCCTGGGGCTCGACCGGGACAGCAAATACAGCAAATTATCGATATTATCAGAGAGATGACGAGAGAAATCCCAAGAATTATCAACATGATGGCCCACCAAGGCAGATGTGTGTCGTTAATATCCACTCCTGAGTCGTAGAAATGGTATGTGGAACCGGAGTGGCCGTCATGACTGCTACTGGAGGAACCGGCGCCAGATGAACCATGATTCATGTTGGTATTGTAATTGTTGTTATTATTGTTATTGTTATTATTGACATTTCTGTTACTGTTGCTGTTAGCTCTACTGCTTAGCTGATGACCAGGCGAATCTTCCGGATTTGGACAACTGTTTCCCTGAAACACCTTCCTAAAAATACAGTTGATTTTCAATTGAGTTCTATGAAGACATGGTTAATGTACATGAACCTTAAATCAGCCATGTAAAAGTGTCATTTGCATATCTTATACATTTGCATATCTTATACATTGCGTTTCTCATACCTTTATTCTTTGTTTATATAATTCTTTTCAAAGTTCAATTCACTTAGCTAATTTATTAATTCTAAGGGTCCAAGATTTATCTTACTTGAAACTTGTAACTATGTACTCCAGCCCCTCGGCGCTGTATGGACCAGAGAAATAAGGCGCAGCTCCCTGTACTATTTTGGTCAGACACGCCGTGCCTCCTATCTTACTGTTTGCGATGGAACCAGCGTATGCTACTACCTGTAAAGACCAACGGTAGGTAAATTAATGAAATAATTACCTGAGGCATGTTTTTTTATCCCATGCACCCTCTCGCTCATTACAAACGGATTTTAGATAACACAGCGCGTTGGCTTTGTCCTCCCTCATATAAATCACCTGCTAGCTAAATACGACTTCCTGCAGGGTATTTATAATAAAAAACCGGTTAGCTTGTTGGTGTTTGATGAATTTTACAAACAAAAGCGCCTCACTTAGGAAGAAAAGAAAATGAAATGAATTAATGTGAATCATTTTAAAATGCTAAAACCTATAAATGAAACAATAAAAGTCTCACTCTTCTGTCATCCCGAGAATGCACAATGGTTATGTCATTATCACATGTCCCGAATTTCCATCGACTTGTAGCCAGTTGGGAGACCCAGCTTCTCATCTCAGCGTCGACACTGGAACTGTACAGACGGACTTTGGATTAATGGTTATTTCAAATAAATTCAAATAAGAGGTGTAAGTCAAATGGCGTTATTTTTATTTCGGTGCCAATTTTTAGTAAGTTTTGAAGGAATAGAGGATGTTTAGGTTTAAGTTGATCTCGGTTTAAGATGAACGAAGTGATTAAATACACAAAATAGATTCTATAAACACACAGGAGAGAGAGAGAGAGAGACTCAAAAGATTGACACTTTTATTGAATATGACCCTATAGATATACCACTAATTTGTGTCTTCCTACCTGGCAGGCACATCAATTTTAGGCACGACCAGAACTGATATGATAATACCGTCTTCGTCTGCGGGGCATTTTGAACTAAAACAAGGGCACGGTGTGGAACTAATGACATCAATGATGGCCAGGTCTAGCCGATCAGCTAGGAATGAAAAGAAGAAAAATGTATCGAGAAAAACGTCCTTTTGCATTTCCAACTAGATGACTAAAGTGATTACTCACACTCTACTCTTGCCTCTCAGACTGTTAGTTTGCGTAAAAGCATGAGGGTAGATTATTGGGCACAAAATACTCCATAAAACGATCACGTTTTCATTATGCCGAACTACAGCTTTACCATACAGCCGTAATCACAGTATTTTCCAGATCATAATTTCATTTCGTTATGGTTGAGGGTTCTGGCCGAGAGTGTTGTTGGGGAATATCGAAATATTTAAGTTTTTTCTGGCAAAGTTTTAAGTCATGTGGTAGTTAGCGATCATAAAAATGACACCTTTTGATAAAAACAAGTCCCTATTGCCTGAACATTTGCGTATACACAACCTGGCCTTGCGTATTTTTTCAACACTTCCTTGGCGGTTAAAAATAAGATTAAAGACAAGCACATTTAGTCAGGAAGCATAACATTTTAAGCATTAGAGATAAAAAATCCAAAAGCTGTTATGGGCTGATATAGCGTTATGGCGTCTGTACGACACAGCGTACTACTTATACCACTTTCACAGTTCTCAATTTTATACTCAACTCCTCCAAGGCAAAGTAATAATCAACGAGACTAGGTTTCGATAAGTGTCTGAACACCACTGCGTAGAAAAGAAACTCCAATCTGCGTGATACATTGGATGATACACATATAATAAGCTGCACGGCTCACCTTGTGCCCTAGTTAGTACAGCTCCAGGATCGCATAGCCACGATTTCAGTTGCCTGCCACAGTCACCATAGTTAGTCCTGGGGTTTGGAACATTTTCTATTCTGTAAGACACGGCTGTAATTAAACCAACAAGAGACAATAAAACCAAAAGTTTTAGTTCTAGAGATCTGCTCCTCTCCATACTCGTAGACTCCATGCCCGATGTTGTTGTTTTGACCGCATTTGGAAGTCGCTCAACGAGAATATTCAGCATATGGATGGTGAGTAAGCTGAGCTATTTTTACCGGTTTAACGGCCTTAGGCCGATCCTTTGAAACTAGTTTCACCTGTATAAAACGAATGGGTATGCACGATTCATCAACTCTTGGAAAGCTACTTATTTCAATAGATGGAGGATTCGAGAAGACCCAGATAGTGAGTTGCGTGTATTACGTGCATTAATAACCCAGTAATAAAAAGTAAGTAAAACAAACTGCTGTTTTGATGGACTGGTCCGGAAGTTTAAACCAGGTCAGAATACATTTGTGCCTTTATAAAGCTTACCTGGTGAAGAAAAATGCTTAGTGCAGGTTCTAGAAATTTAAGCCAGCGCTTGCTAGTTAAGCCTCACCTTGAGATCGGCAGCAGAAACTTTTATGAACGCTTGATGTTCTAGGCTCGTTCAGTGCATGAACCTAGATATCATACCTAACCATCATCATTATTATTATTATCGTGAAATACTGTTTAATGATTCAGTTTACTAATATTTTTCTTATATACTATACTGCAAATCTTAGATTACTGCTCAATTTAAAAGGACATCGACAGAGTTGAATTTAATCCTAATATAAATATATGCATTTAAAACTGGAGACAAACTTAATTCAGAAAACTTTGGGAGAAAAAAGTGTCTCATTTGGTTCTGTTGAGGGCAGCGTTATTTTTTTCCAAAGGGCCTTTTATGTGTCAGTGTGTTAGGTGTAGGGTTACTCACTTTTTGTCGCCCCCGTTGAATGCCTCAAGTGTATTACAACGTATCTAACACAATGATTCCTCCTCCCACTTATTTGAGAAGGTCTATTGCTAAATAATCTTGGAATGATCTTCTCCCAATCTTGAGGATTATCATGGCAACTGGCAGTATATAGAGATAAGCTAATACCAAAATATAAGCATAGAGTCTGTATATTTTTCGGAATTTGAAATTAATGAATTAAGCATTTGTTGGGATATCAATCTCTCTTGGATCATTCAAGGTAAAAATATTGACGGTCGGGGTAGAAAAACGGGTCTAACAGACTGAGTCATTACATGTTTTTACTTCCTTTGTGCTCACATTATCTGTTCTACAGTGCTGCCTGTTTACTGTTTTTACACGTATATGTAGCTACGTAACAAAACATTATGGTTGTCGCTGCATACCGGGTATTGCCTTTGCCTCCTGTGCTTGTCGCAACTTCAAACACCTCTTTAGTATCACATGCAATGTTTTTAGGTGAACTCGATACTGTAAAGATGTTTGTCAAGATACTTTTTTTCAGTCACTCAGATTCTCGCGTGTGTATAAAAAATCGAACAGAAAGGAAATTATTTTTATTAGACCTAAGCGTCAGATTTCCGACGTTTATACCTTTTTTCGGTATAAAGAAAGTAACTATTCAATTGTACTATTATGCGATGGCACCTTAATCATGAAAGTCGCCTGTACATGATACGCATTTGGCATTATCAATATATATTTTTACATACAAAACATCTAAATATGCACTCTGTTCTTTTATATGTTATGTGAAGGCACTCCTGGTGCAAATAATAACGCGCCACCAAATCTGAGGAGCCCTACAGTTGAATACTTCCAGATCTGGTTTAACAAATTAATCAAAAAAGCGCTTCAACAAGGGCAACTGTAACGGAATTAATAGCACCGTACGACTGCAAGATCGAACCAACAGAACTGCAGGCTGTTCTGCACTGCCAAATGTACCCCGGTACGGAATCTACTATTTTTCATTTCAGATCTCCTTGATACTGTGTACGGAGGACATACGACGTCCCTTGACTTTTGTATGTTGTATTTTTGTTTTTCTCTCTATTTTCATGTCCTTTTGAGGTCATACGGAACGCGCTACCCTGGGACTTCTTATCTACTGTATCTGTCATTCCTTTGGGCATATCAGATTGGGACCTACTCGTGACAGTGATCCTTTGTGGGGTTTTTTTGGCAGTGTGACAGTAATGAGCTGAACCATGCAAATAATAAGGTGACTCAGAATATACACACTGACCCATGTCAAACACATCGTGCCAGAAGTGACCTGAATTTTTCGGTACTACAATCTTACTGTTACAGCAATGCAATAGAATTACTTTTAGAAAGGATGAGTGGGGAGATCCATCGCGTTCGCCCTTGTGCAGAAAAATTCGCTTCTTTGATTCTAACTAGAGGATCAGAGAGGCGATACCGCCTCCAAATATTGTACCACCAGCTGGAGCAAACGCATTCGTATAGACCCCCACATACACAAAGTAAGGGACACAGCCGCCAGTTTTGTGCTTGACAAGCTGTAAAAATGCAATCAACAAGAATTTTTAAACTATTGCAAAAAATATATATGGTACAATCAAATTTAAGTTCTTCGTAAGGTAGGTCAAGGGTCAATTTCAAGGTCACAGTAAATTGCCAGTATATGACTTCCTATTCAAGTTCAAGAGTAACTATGGACCTATCTCTGTCAAGTTTGAAGTTAAAAGAGAAAGAAATTAGCAGAGTTCAGTTCATGATAAAAAGTAGGTCAAAGGTCAATTTCAAGGTCACA